GAATGGGAAATCTGGCATCTAGTCTAACTTCGTGTTGCCCTGAATTAACAAGACTTATGCAGACTGAAGGTCAAACTGGTAATGCGCGAGAAATGGCAACACAAACGTCTCTACCATTGGATATTTTAGAAATGGAAGAATTAAAACAAAGTATAGATGAGATTATTAACAGTCGACACTGTAGCTCAAAAGGAACGCAAATTTCACCGCAGTTAAATAAAAACAAAAATATCGCTACGTAGCATTAGTTTTTCTTCTTCGAACGTACAAAGAACTTTTTCAAATATTTCTTCTTAATACTATGATCATTATTATATTACCAGATTTGTCCAGGATTTTCTTTCTCTCTTTATATTTTTTGCTTTCTTTTCCTTTAAACTTGTTAATTCCACCTTATACAGAAGTAAAAAATTGTGTGATGATTTAATAGTATAAAAGTTGTGACTTTTCATATTATTTACCTGTTGTAACTGTTTACTTATAATGGTGCAATGGTATAATTCTAACTGTAAATATTATTTTAAAGCAACTCAGTCTTAGTAGTACATATTATTACTTTTATACATTCTACTATCGATAAAATTACGATGTAGTAAAAACTATGAATTTTTATAAGACTAAAGATATAAAGATATGATAAATACAGTTTATTTTGTTTTTTATACAGATCAATCTATTAAGTAATACTCTGTATCTTACAGTATTCTCAAGAATGCATATCCTGATGTACTTAAATTATATACAAATTAAGCATGTTCAAGTACAATTTATTTTACTTTAAATTTATATCATTAATCTTCCCACCTTTTGAAAATCAAGATTGTTTTTGTTACAAAATTAAAAGAAATTGTACACACTATTTAAAATATCACAACTTATTTTACATTTTGAATGCAATATACAAAGTATAATATTGATAAAATGATACATAAATTATGTGAAATGAGTTTTTATTATACTATTAAAAATATGATACAAATTTCACAACATATTTTTCCTTGAATAATTTTTATCTCCATTTTACACTAATTATTACAATAACAAAGTCAGTATCCAAGTTGTTTTTAGAAAATAATTGTTTTAAGTAAAACTGTCTTTAAAACATCCATTTAAATATTGACATCTTATATTATAACCATGAAAATTTATTCTGGGGTTCACTAACACATATGTAATTATAGAAAAGGTCAACCCGTTATCGATAATTGCTATTTTCCGTACATAGTTTGACACGTTTTCAGTGTTCTAACCCGAATTACCTACAAAAAATGCCAATTATATTCACATTATATAACAAGCACCTTAATTTTGCTGCAACTGCAATGTTTGAAGATCCTTAAAAGTAACATTTCTTCTTTTTAATTCACGTTTAGAAATATGACAAAAGCGTTAACGAACCCTGTACTCCTAGTTGACTAAGTATCTTATATATTTTTTTGTACATTATATGAAAGAGAAAACTTAGAACTTAATCTCACGAGTTAGAGTCTGACCTGTCATGAATATAAAAATGGTATTTCTCATCTACCATCACAGTGATCTTCTTAGCACGTGAACTCTTGCTGATATGAAACTTTGGCAAACTGGTACACGTGTTAATGATTTCTCTGTTCGACCATTTCCATTAAAGTATGATCCTCTTGCTGGATTTTCCTCGCTTTATTATGCTTTCAAATCTGGTCCGACACTTTCTGCCACGTATTTTTTTCCTATACTCGATACAAATACAGCCGGTTTTAATACTCGGGAAAACAATGTTTACAACGTATCTGTTGATGCACCCTCAAAACGCGGAACAATGCATTCATTCCACACACGTATCCACAGTTCACTGTTTTTCTGTATTGCTTTGTTTCTTCTTTTTATTCTACATTTTACTCGATTTCTTTATTGCCAGAGTAACAAAGGCTGTTAAATGTACAAAAATGTGATATATGGTGACAGGTTGCATCGTGTGTACGTATGTGTGTTGTCCGTGTTTCTTCACTTTCACACAGAGTATATGCAGTGTAATCGTTACAATCAGTCTTTCCTATTATTTGCATTGCATAGGATACAAGCATCACGAGAAAAAAAAAACACATATACATGCTACAATACAATTATGGAACTCTCTTCAGCAAATAAGTTATTAATCACCGCGTTCTGTTTGTGCTTTCTGTTTTGAAAAGAAATAAACGCGCTCCTCTTTGCATGCACATATTACTATGTTCCCTAATAATTTTTTTGAAAAGTAATTTATCCATTGGCGTGTTACGCGTGCATGTCATAAAGTAGAATAAATGAGGAAATGGGAGGAGGAGATAAAAAAATGCCTTCCACTTTTTATTTACCACCACCTAAGAGGAGGCTAATATATAACCGAAGTCAGCGCAACTAATCACCATGGGCGGACTACTTGATCTTGGCGTTAGATTTTTGGTGTTGAGTGTATTTGTTACCCCAAAAGAAGTTATCCATTGCTTCGCCGACAAAATACAGACTGATGCTGAACGATATTAGTGCAATAAAAAATAAAATTCGGGACGGCCACGACAGCACCTCCATTATTGGGTACACCCAAACATTGCATTTGTAGTAGATTATAAGTGTCCTGAAGATAGAAACAATTTTTATAATTAATTCAATAATAATTCTATCGATTAGAAATATTATGGTTATTTATACAGTGCAATGTATAAATATTAATTTTAAAAGATCTGATCAAAATTTACTAAGAATAAAATATAGCAGAAAATTGAAACACTGATCTCTTTATAGAATTTTTATATTTTCTTTTTATAATCCCAACGTACCAAAAAAGATATATATGTACGAATGTGATTATACCAAGAAGACCTTGTAATCTCTTTGGATATTTTCTGGGTGTCAAAATCGTTTCTATTACAATGGATACTACGATCATTGAGTGCATTAAATGATTCAGCCACCATGGCAAGTACGGGTCCAGAGCCTTTGGCAGTATTAGTTCACGATCCACAAACATTAGACTCCAAAATGTTATTCCAACGAACTGGAATACGGAAAACTCGTAAGGAAATGCATAAAATTTTAGATTTTCGTATTTTTAACTTTCTTTTTTCACTTACCATGGCAATCGGAAAACTAAGAATTGCATGCATGCAATCCTTTAATTTACGAATAAATGACGGTTTCTTAGGGCTAACGGCATTTGTACCAAAGCAATCATTCAGTACACATATAAAGAAATATACAGCTTGAATGATCTGAAACACACAGACAATTATGCTACATCTTTATGTATAAGAATAATATACATACATAATGTACATATTTAGAGATATGCTAATAATTAAATACATTCCTTATTTACGATTGAAAATTACTTTGTGTACTACGTTTTTTAAGTCTCATGCTACTTAATACAACTAACTCTTAGATTCAAAAGTAATTTAGTCCAATTAAACATTGACATTACTATACAGAATATTACACATATTTTGTAAGCTCCAGTAAACATTATATGTTCTACAATTATTGTCATTTCATGTTACATATGTATACACCAATTATTTCTCTTAACAAATTGTTATCAATTCATCGGTTAATTAAATGAAGAAGTTTTAGAAAGAAATAATTAAAATAATGAACGAAAGAATTCAATAATAATTTTACATCCCATTTTATCAATGAATTTTTTCAATTTCAATTATAGGTCTTTGATCTTTCTTAAATTTGGAATTTGTGTATTATAACCAGCATAATCTAATATAATTTGCGATCGAAAAATGAGCATTCAGTCTCATTTATAATCGCTTCTAAAGAACAATTTAAATTTAAAAATTATTCTGTACGTATGGCTGCGTAACGATATATAAATAATCAAGATGTACTGACAGAAATTAAATAGGGAAAATTATTGCATCGAGTGTGAATATTTCAAATCATGCAATGATAGTCACTTGACTGTGAATAGATAACACGTAATGACACGTGCTGAAATTTCGAGGGGGTATCGAGTGGTGCTCGAACAATTGAATTTTGCTCTTTCTCCAGCTTCATAATTCGCAGCACGAACATGAAATGGCTATAAGTAGATAATATGATCATATATCTAACGTGACCCTAAAAAAAATTTGTATTTATTACCTTATTTACTAACCCTGCAAAGTTATAATTGAAATAAAATAAATAAAGCAAACTAACAAGGTTAATTTACTTTGAATAGATTTATTATATATAATCCGTGCAAAAAAGTATATTCCAATATCGTAGATGACTAAACAGTTTAAGATGCTTGATTAATAAATCAATTTGTAAATTTTCTCTAGAACTTAACCAATATATTCGTCAACTGTAATTATAAGAAATCAATAAGAAGTTAAACGTTTAAAATTTTCAAAAATATTATTATACCTTAGGTATCGCGATTTTTATAAATGCAAATGCGGTACAGTATGTATACTCATATTTGTTTTCACTATTGTATAATACTGTTATAGGAACGTGATGTAATCATTTGCTACAACCACCGTAAGATTTAAGCAGAAAAATAGAAGTTGTATAGTAGCATAATGTTTTCTTGAAATTGAAATTAGTTAAAAATTGAAACATATGCTAAATATCATATGTATTTAGCATAAATAAACAAGTTAAAAGGTTGCAATATGGATGCTAGTTATGTAACTGTTCTTTTCTTTTTCAACGAGAAAGTAGCTTCTTCAAAAGGTTGACGATTATTATAAACAATGATTCGAATATCAAATTCTTTTTTTTTTCTTGAAAAACTGCAATAGTAGTTGCATTTTTTCAATAACCATAAAATTATGTAATACTAACTAGGAGAATAACCTAATTGCATATATAAAAAGAAAGAAACCAAGTCAACGGGTCACGATACTAACCGCATCCCAGAAAGTGAGATATTTGAATTTCCCGCCGAAGGCGTTCTGCGTTTTCAGAATACTCGAGGGAACATTGACGTATGTGTAATCATAATACACGCCGAAAGAAAATTGGACACAGGAAATGATGTGAAATCCAATCAGTAGGCTGTCCCGCATCTTGCAGGCGTCTCACATACAGTTTTACGTGTTCTGAAACGTTTTGACAGATTTCCATGATAGCGAATGTGATTCGACCAATCAGGTTGGAACGACATGATTTATCTTTATTGCGTAGGATTCTCTACTCTCTGTACACTTCCCACTTCGTTCAGAGAAATTAATTAATAGAGAAGGGAAATGATAAGAATATTTTTAGATATCTATAGAAATGATAGAAAGATATCTTTATTTGTTTGAAAATTTTAAAAAATATGTCAAATGGATCCCCTTTTTTCATTAATGACCAAACATTTTTCAAATTCTACAAATTTCTGTGGTAAATTATATAATAATATGGAATAGAACTAGAATGATTTTAACACGAATACTAAAAATAATTTTATTTAATGTTAATTTTTTATTTTATTTATATATTAAAATTATAATCTACAAATTTGACTCCTTTTCTGTGTACAAAATATTAACTAAATTATTATATGAACTATAAATGTTTATTTCTTTTTTCTTTTTAGGTGAATGAATGAAGTCGATTGTGAAGAAAGTACAGGAAGAGATATAAGTAGTAGTTAGATCAAATACGTAAATATTAGATAATGAAGTTGTATTACAAGGATATCTAGTCATCTGTTGTATAATTTACTGTATGTCTCTGTTAAAAATTTTTATTATAGCAATTGTTCAGCGATTCACACACGTGAGTTTTTCATATTCATAATAAATTTTATTGAAATTTATTGAAATTTAATTGTTCAGATTGCTGAAATTTAAATGATTTAAATTGTCCTAGCGTAAATTGCTGCAATGTAAATTACACGCGTTGTTTTTATTCAATTCCGTTATGTTAAAAATAATCAAGGGGATAAAAATAATATTTAAGTATAAAAAGACATTTTTAATATTTTTAACTTTGGAAAACAGTGTACTGTAAATAATCGTCTTGTTATAGTCATTGGCATTTACTTTGTGATTCTAAACTCATCCACGTATGCAATCTCATATAGCAAGGATTAAACGATGCACGAATGATTGATAATAATACAAAGAATGAACATAGTTGTTAAAGCGATTATGATAAAATGCTGTCAACGAAATTTCTGATTTATTAATTACAGAATTTATCATACGAAACAAACTGAAACGGTACATAATTTATATCGATAAAACTAATTAATCATCCTGTCGTTCATATTTTGTCAATAAATTTATTAACTCTTTGTACTCGAAGATTTTTTTCACTATAAAGATATAACGATTCGAAGCTTTCCTTATATTTTTATTATATCATATATCGTAAAATAAAAATATACAAATCACGTGTATTTCATTCAAATACTTCATGTGCAGTTACTTCTAATCTATTTAATGCCTTATATTCGTTACTTAAGCTTCGAAGTATTAAAACAAACGATGACTACTATGAACATTGTATATAACATCGATTAGAATAAAATCAGAATGTCTCGTTGTCACTGTCTGCATTTCATGAATCTCATTTTGTATAGCGTGAGAAAACAATGTAAATTTAAGATATTTGTGAATAATAGAAACTAGGGTCTTTATGAAGTACAATGCTTTGAATGATAATTTCTGTTTTCATTAAACACCAACTAGAATTTCATGAAAGAAAAGGATCCATTTGTAATCAAATTTTTCAATTGTTATAAATGACGAGTGAGGTTGATTCTAGAAAATTTATGTACAACTTATTGATACATCACTGCGGTTAAATCTTATGATCTTACAGCGTCTCGGTTGATCTCCCGTTTACTGTAGAGTTGATGAGCTCAATTTCTTTGACCGTGCTTATCAATGTTATGACGATGCTTGAAGGCTTTTTTAATACTTTTATCGTATTTCTTTAATATTTACACAATTACCTCCGATTACACAAGAAAAACGTATTCGTTAATAGAGAAAAACACTCCGGCTTTTTCGGTCACATGTACAGACCGTACCAATAGTATCGATCGCGGCGACGGTCTGCAACTTACTGACGGATAGGCGAAAATACACTGTGCGAAAAAGAGAAATAGTCCACCATGTGCAGCAGGCCCTAGTCTGGAGGGAGTAAAGTAACACAAGATCTTCACAAGTATACGAAAGATAAATAAAGACGGGTATACGATAAGAGTGAGAAAAACTGAGGAAGAGGGAACAAATATTTGGCGACAGTGAACGTGATCGCATGAGTTACTACACCACGTTGTATTTGTTACCAACGGTGCTAACATATTGTTAAACCAGCCTATATTTGGCAAATGATACATCTATTCTTTTTACTGTCCTATCTTTCTCAATTGAGGTGTGCATTGACTTCGAAAGACAAATGAACAGGAAATATATAATAACGTGGTATGAAAATAGAACAGAATAAACACAGAAAAGAGGGCGTGTACGAAATAAAGAGGAACCACGAGAGAAAAGAGAGGAAAAATATAGTTCAGTCTCTTCTTCTGCGCGAACGAGATGCGCACACGTTCGTACGGACGAAAACTGTTTGTTCTCAAGTATGATCTCCTTTTTGAGCTTAACGTATCATTTGAAAAGTCATTGTTCCAATCTATGAACCGTCATTAAAGGAAAAGTATGATGGAGAATAAATATGAATTTCAATATTATAAAAAAGTTTCATAATGAACGGTTTGTATTATCACGAAGCATGGTCTCAGAGAAACTTGTTTCAACTTATCAAGCACTTTCTAATTGAAAGTCTGGAGTTATTTTGTTGAGATGTGTTGTGAACTTACTTAATACTAAATGAGAAGTTGAATAAAAACGAGAAAAGATTAGATGATTACCGCGTTATATAACCTTTGTCTTCCTATTACTATTTATGGTTACAGTATACGTATCCTGAATTATACTATACACACGTTAAATGAGAACCAATATCTATAATATTTATTTCAGTCTTTATATTTATATTTATATTTATTGTCTTCATATTTATTTCAATAACAAAAAAAAGAATATTGAAAATTTTAATGATATTCCAAGTTATATTCTCTAGTGTTGATATATTTAAATTATTAATAAAATGTAAAGTATTATAAAAATTTAAAAAAAATTATGGAAATTAAGGAATTGAAACTTATCGATTGAGATGATATAGAAACATCCCTTGACCTCGTTAGAAAGTAAAATCTACCTGCTTATTTTCATCGATCCTATCAAATCAATAGTATAAGTAGATTTATACTTTATAGGTCAAACGGTTTACACATAAATATTTTGCACGATTACTTTTATGTAATTATATTGCATAATCATCATCATGTATAAAGGTCGTCATATATAATGGTTATCATATACGTATAATATCAAAAGGTCAAAATATTCATTTATTAAAAATATGAACTGTTCAAATTTTAAAATAAATTATAGAATATAACTTTATTTTATAACCTTTATAAAATATAATATTATTTAATCACTTATGATGTCACAAGCTTAAATATATTAATATTTTTCATTCGTTAAAATTTTCACTACACGAAATCTTGTTTTAATTAAGAAACTCTGTTTCGATAACAATGAGTATTTCGAGAAGAATGTTACGTGAACAAGATATAATACGCATCAGTCTTTTGTTATCAATGAATATGCAAAGAATAGAATGATGCTGCATGTAACCCTTTATTTGTGTTGTAACGTTTAAGTTATAGGCCACAGATGTCAATATAGCACCATCTATCCATTTAATGTTGTAAAACGTGCAACGTATTGTTAATAACTTTATTTAGGTGACACGAGTGCAACGACAATAAAAAACCAATATTTTTTTATATAAGCATTTACATAAGTTAATGAAAAATGTATAACAATTTTATAATTATAAACTACTTTTTAAAACTTTCTTATTTTTGCAGTATTTATGAAAGAGATAAAATGATAAATGAAGTATTCTATTGTATTTCTAAACATCTGCTTATTCCTCTTTATTGTAACAACGACTATGTACATTTAGGCTTGATATAATAGAAGTACAATTTCATATATCATTAACAAACATCTGTATCTATTATAAATGATGTATTTTGATTTTTTATTCAATCTTTGTAGTATTTAAGTCAACGTAATTTTGTTAATAATAAAAAAGTATAACTTACAAGGTTCCAATACGTGAGGAATCTTGTTATTCCTGGCTGCCATTGATTAGATTGAGTGTAGTAGTTAGATTGTAAGATAGGAAACTTAACTTGCTGTATATAGTATATCGTAAATAGGTATAATAGACACCATACTATATGTATCAGCTGATTTGTTGTATGTGACATTTTCTTCAAATTCTGAAAAAGATAAAACAGTTTGTCAAACATGTACTCGTTTTTAAAGAAAAATGATTTTTTTTATTAAATATACTACATTTAACGTATAACCCCTTTAACAATAATGCCGTTTAGGTTATGCTTTTCGTATTCAAGAAAATTATTGACCATAATTTTATTACTGTTTAATTATTTTTCAATTATAGAGCCTTTTCGCATTCACGAATTATTTTTATTAGACGAAATAACAATAGTATAATAACGAAAAGAATTTAAATAATAGTATTATATTTAATATTTTATGTACATAGTATAATTATCAACAAATAAATGTACCATCTCTTCATCGAATGATAATAATAATTGAGGGGAACAGAAGAAATTCAATGGTCGATAATTGAAATGATATCAAAATGTAATTCCTGGCATGAATAATATTTGCAAAAATGTGATTAATTATAGCAGTAAATATTTTGTAAATAGAATCTTATCTTTTTTATCGTAAATGTCCGATGATCGTTCGTGATAGTAATTATAAAGAAATATTGGACAATTATATTATAATTATAAATAGACATTGAAACATTAAATCAAAAGAATACGACGCAATTGTAATTCCTTAGTTCTTATTTAATTTTTTCATTTGATGATTATAATTAATTAAGAGTAATCTAAGTCATTAATATTTGTCACCAACATAGAATGCACATTGTTCATTTTATATTATTTTTTCATATTTTAAAAAATGACTGAACAAGTTTATGCAGTACATTATGCTTTAAGGAAATGAGTTTGTCAAGAAATTTTTTAAAAAGATTACGCAAAAACTATAATGTGATAAGATAATTATTGTTTGGTTTTACTTTCTCAAAAAAAGAAAAAATGAACGAAAAGATACACTGGAAAATGACTAAAACGTATGATACATTTATATAACATAAAGGAAATATCACTATTATTTAGACAGTCAAGTAATAATTATAATTCAACACAGTAAAAAAGTTAAACAAATTCATTAGGAATGTAAAATTTATAAACAACCTTATAATTTATTGAAACATTTCTTTTCTACTGAAGAATATTGCATTTTATACTAAAATTATTATACTGTTATCCAACAGAAATTAATTTATAATTTTATTTAAAATACCGAATATTTTATTTAAATAAGTATTTAGTAAAATTTTTATCAAATACGATTAAAATACTTAGGTATATTTACAACGATGTACTTACAATATATAAATAGTACTTTTTCTAGTAGTAATAGTATTAAAGAAAAACTTTAAACTTGTAAAATTTATTGAAAAATTATTTCTAATATCGGTTCATAGCTCGTATCGCATAACTAAAATGACTGAATAGAATTTTCCATCGATTCTCCGGTTTCTTGATTCAGAAAATTAATAGTTTCTGAATCTTTGCAGCAACGGTAAGATCAAGAAAATAACTATGCACCGTGTAAGCCAGTGTGGTCTCTTTAATCTGACTTCGATCGCCATAAAATGCCATAAAAAGCAGATCGTTGATACATAATCGACACAAACAAAAATTTCTCAATATTTCCACACAAAAAGAAATTAATTCTTCGAAATATACCGATACGTATTTCAATTTCGATTGAAAGGTTAATAGAAATGCCCCTTATAGTAATTTCAAACTACCAATCGTTGATTCACTAACAGAATAACTCTGTGTAACAAAATTAAATTGTTTTTCCGTCAGCATTTCGTGATTGTCTAAAATGATCTTTTTATGCGAGAATATAATATGCAATCAAAACGTAGATTAACCCACGCCACTGCCATGAATGACTTGGACACCGTCTGAAATTTAAATAAAATAAGCTAATATTATAATCGACATAATAAAAAGTAATCAACGTATAAATAATTACGATGATATATATTCACTGATTATCTTGAGAAGTTATTTCCAATTTTGTTAATCGTATCGACAGTTAGCTTCGATGTAGTTCGAGATCAATTTGACACGACGATTCCGTCGAAAAGTTTCTTCCATATTCACTTCGTTATGTCCCACTTAATTATTAGACGATATCTTATGTAGTCGACGATTTTAGTTGTAAAAACGTCCGTGTTTCGTAACTATTTTAATCGTGTTGTTCTTTGTGTTATACTTGTATTATCACTCACCTTCTGTTATTCTTTAACTCGATTCTTATTCTAAATAATAATCCATACCTATTTAAATAAATTAACGTAATATTTATTCTTTATTTTCTTTTAACCTACCTCGAGGGACGACAGGCGCTCGTTGAAAGATCTATCAAACTATTTGGAAGAATGCCTGGATCTCGAAGAAGCAGAAAAAACTGGTTTTGCAGATGGAATATATAAACAGGACCACAGGCAAATGGCAAGCCTCGTTGATGAGGTGAAAAATGAACAATGTCGCCCCAGAGCTAGTCACAAACTAACAATCGGCCGCCCGATGACTCGCTGCACCGTCGAATAATGATAATTTATCGATGCAGCTGATTCGTCAATGTTGGCTTCCAGGAGTAAATAGGGGATTTAGTTATCAAACTTCTTTTAATACGTAGATGTAATTTTTCAGGACCGTATAAAGTTGTGATAATTTGTAAAATCATGTTCTAAAAAATTGCTGGAAAAAAAATCATTAAAAATTGAAACTGGAATTATGAAGAATAAAGATAAGATCTTGAATGTTTAAGTTTATTTAGTGGCACTAGCTTTAAATTTTATTCAAGGTATTCCTCATCAGCAGATGATAAAGAATGGAACGAGAAATATATGGGAATCTTTTGGAAATCAACATTTGGTACGTAGACTATGGAGAATATTACTTACGGTAGGAAATTGACTAAAGCATATGGATGTTTATTTTTCTTTCATGATAAATGTTCGATAGAATTTCATGTTCTCATTTTATTATCACATATTTCTGATTTGTTGTGTCTGAACAGTCAGTTATCAGATTTTTATTTTCGCAATATTATTTTAGTAAAAGTTAATGAATGCATTACAAATCGTGAATAGACAAAAGATCAATGTAGTTTGTATTATGAAATTCATAAGTCATTACTTAAAATTATGTTATTCCGAAATGCGATCTGTTCTCGTCGATACGAAATCACTTTTATTTTCTTTCATTGTTTATTGATGCATTTGTAAACAAAATTGTTTTTGTCTGGTAAACATATTATCTATATAAATAACCAAAGTGTGAACTCATTATTTTTATAAAAATCGTTGATATTACGGATTACAGCTAGATGTATTTTTGACGTCAATACGTGATATTTTAACTGTATTTCTGAATATCAAATTCAATGGAAAAAATATATTTATTTATCACATGACCTTCGACTTTGCATAGTGTCAAATAATAATATTTTTATCTTACCAAATTTTAATTTACGTTTGCAACTTTTTCCATGTCATATTATTTGTTTTTTGTATGTGTGTATACAAAATATAATTAAATAATAAATTTGATTTCTTACAAATATTAATCCGGGCAAATATTTCAAAATAAAAAAACGTAATTCATGCTTGACCGATGGTAAAAATACACGTGACTTGATAAATGTTATACAATCTGTATTTTATTTACCATTACCCTACTAGTAGTGACATCATGCGACGATTGAGATAACTAACTTAACCGTTGGTCATCCCACTTTTTATAAAGGTAATTAATTCCGCTTAATTGTATTTCATTACAAAATTTTTAAATATATTTTTAAAAAATCATGTTTATTAAACAATATCTTTTGTATTAAAAAATTAACAAAATTACAATTATTGAAAAAACGTGATATATTTTATGGCCCATTAGAGATTTAAGAGTTTTAATATTTTTAGTGAATATCTAATAGATTATATTTTATAAAATGTTTCTAAATAAAATAGTTTAAATGCATCTTTTACAGGATTTTTATACAGGAATAAAAAACATATCTGTTAGTAACAGTAGAGTCCATAGAGGGCTCATGGACGAATCGGTTAACTAACAGTTTCGAACAAACAGTTTCGCGCCGAACGTACTGCAGTGTTCACTCGGTGTATCATAAAAGCATTGTTCTTTGTGTTTCATATATTTAACGAACCGTGCGAAAGTGCATTTGCATATGAAGTAAGGCATTTTTTTCGTTCATTTGATGCAGTGGTTAAGTTCGATGTGTCAATTGTGGTCACGGGTATTCGATACGAAACTGTACTGTTGACGTAGCATAAGCAGGTAACTATATACTACACTTATAGCTCCGTACAAATAGGAAACGCAATACCTTTTATTGAGTTTGCTTTTTTGCCATTGTCATGATTCGTTGAACCTTAAACGTTTATTCACTTGAAATGACTTTCATTCTTAATTCTTTAGATTTTTTACAAATCATTTTTTGTATCGTAAAAAATAACAAAATACATCATACATATTGTGTGGATTCTTTTATATCGTTTGTGGAAGACCTATACAAAACCGTGACTGGTTACAACACGCTTCACGCTTCAAATTTCGTTCATGGAACGATAGACATCAATTAGTAAGCCTGAGTTATACAGTCCGTAATAACCTAGTCTTTCGTACGCTTTTTCCGCACCATAATCAGACCCCCTTCCCCCTAAAAGGAAAAACGACGTAATTACGATACACTTTCTTTTTCGTTTCACGGCTTAAATCGCGACCTGATTATATTGCATTTCCTTCAACATGTGACAGAAGAAAAATTGATCAATGCTATTGCACTTGTTATGTGTCATCGTTATGTGTCATCCCTTATTGACAGTCCAATCTTCGTTTACAATCCAAATTAAAAACATCAAACTTTTAGAAATTACATAAATCAAATGTACAATAATATTTGAATAATATTTTTAGTCAAAACTTGATGTTAATGTTGAGATCTGGTTGCATTAAGATATTAAAACCTCGAGAAAATGGGTTGCGGCCACCTTTTACAACGCCAAAAGAAACCGGTAACTTCTGTCTTCTTCTTTGCTACGCTTCTACCGTTATGTTGCGTAATGTATGGCGGCGTTACCCGACAGATCTGTTTTCGTCCTTCGAGCGTAGACAAGCGCACGATGTACCACAAAAAAATTGGTAACTTATATGTGTCGTAGTTTCAAAACCCCATGACCGTTTCTTAAACGTACTGCAGTCAGCTTTTGTAACGGTCCATTGAAATGTGAGGTTATGTATTCATAATACTTAATGCAAAATATTGAAATTGTAGATTATTCAAATTAGATGATGTTTTTCGCAAAAGTTAAGGATGAGGATATAATTTTATACAAGATTAATCGCTAGTTTTTAATTTGCACATGGTTGTTTAGCATTTATCCCTAAGTAATGTATTATCGATTATAAGAAAACGGTTATGTATAACACGTGTTATATATTTTCTATAACTTGCTATTCGTATTTAAATGATCTTGAAGTCGAACACCATTAGGAACTCCTTCAAGCGCCAGTTAATCATTTTATTGAACTCAATTGAACATGGCTGTGATATATTTGAGAGTTATAAGTTCGATCGTCATAATAACTCTTTCGTAATTATTACGATGCATTATACGAAATTTCTATTTTATCTTATATCACACAATAAATTATTATTTCTACTTAAAAACCGAAAATTTAATTTTTTCAATTTGTGTTTTGCAAATGTGATTGTAATTTTGCAAGTGTGATTGTAATTTGTGATTGTAAAGCATCACACACGTAATCGTATTTTTCTTAATAAGTACTTTGCAATAATAATTTATGTCTCTTGTAAGATTTCGAAATTCATGTTCGCACTTCTTTTAATTGAAAATTAAGGTTACTTAATGAATATCGTAACAGTTTTAACGGCGTGATGGCCATGGATTACGGTATTTAATCTAAAATATGATATCGCTGGTTCTCGTCCTTGGCGAAATCGATCGATGGGAGAATTGAATGGTTTCGTGCCATAAAACAAGATCTTCTTTTATAGGATATACAGTAACGCTTTAATCATTTAACCGCTTGTTCCGAGAGGGCGTTCCGTGTCAGTCTTTCACGTGCAAGTCGTTTTCACGAAATGTCAATTATGCATTGGTATATTCGCAACAATTGTCCATCGTTAATCGTCGTCAATGTTTATGATGCAACTTGCAACCTTGCATCTTCGAACCGTGACTCATCGAGTTCGTTTCAAAACCATTAACAGTAGAATTTTGTTTCTTTCCTTGCATATAAATAATCAACGTTTCTTAATTATCTATCTTCAGCGTGATGAATTGTGTTTGAATAAGTTCTCGAAAAAAACAGCATGATATTTATAACAATTACATGACTCGACAAATTATTCGAAACGTGAACTGTGATTAATAATTTTGCAATAATACTGCACGTGTCTACTCTTCCTCTTTTTGAAGCAGAAGCTTTGCTTCCTTTCAGATAATAATCGAGTGGATAAGTTTTTATTTTTGAAAAAAAAAATATTTTTGTAATAAGACACGTGGTGATGTAATCTGTTATATAAAAAATATCCAACTTCATGTTGCATTCGATGTGACAAAAACCGGACGCTGGGCATCTGCTCGATTAATTTTTCCCCGTGTTGTGAGACAGGTGTGCACCGAGAAAACAGACCAACTGCTAAAGTATAATTTACAAAATAAGAATTTCAAAACTAATTAATTTATTTAGTAGCTCAAAATATCCTTAAACGATAAATTTCAATGTAAACATTAATTTCAAGTAGTTTCAGGATAATTCTTTATAAATTAGTTTTTAAATTGCTACTTTCTACTAAATTTTCGTTAAACCTACAAAATTATGCAATAAAATTTTATTTTTGCACCTGTAAGCGTTTTCTATATATTTTACTAGTGGACGCTCTCATTTTTTGGAGAACGGTTTTACCTGATAGCGCAACAAGAACGATCGGTGAGTCAGCCGTACTGGTAACCGGCTTCGTCCGTCTTTCTCTCTATCTTTTTTACTCCCACCTTCGCGATCGTCCTTTTCTTTCTTTGTTAACGTTTCGTCTCTCCCCCACGCGTTACTTTTTCCTTTCTATCCCAGTTCTCTCTTCATCCCTCTCTAGCCTGCTGCCACCCTCCTTTCTTCCTCTCGTTCGATTTCAGCACAGGTTATTCTTTTTCTCTTTCTGACGATACCTGTCCTTTTCACGTTCGATCGTAACCGAGCTATTTTTGTCTCTCTTTAACCTCTTGTGCCCTTATTTTTTACTCCATTTCTTTGAAATAGCGATGGGTACGTTAGCCCCCTTCTTCTCTCACTCCCTATCAATTGCGTAACGTACAAATTTCAATTAATTTGAATATCGCATAAACTACTATTTCTTGGAAGCGAATGATCGTATCGAATTCGAAAAGTTCCAGAAATTTACAAAATATCGAAGATCCTTGAACTCTTTGTCTTAGTATAATTTTATTATATGGCAAATATAAAAAAAAATAAAATATAGTAGTCTTTTGAGACCCCAAGAAATGAAGTCATGTATTTGAACCAACCCGATGCGTCTCAAGTCCATCGGTTACACCGCGGGCGAATCGTTTCTTTCTTCCTCCAAGCGTGCAAGCGTCTCTCCTTGAGAGTCTCTCTCGCACCTTTGTTTCCCAATGCTCTAACACTTTCGAGCGAATCGCAACAGGCGACTTCATTGCGCGCCGTTCGCTCGTGACCGTTCGAGCAACGAGGCTCCTCTGATGTACAAGTCCTTTGTTTCCCTCGCTTACAAATTTAGACTAAATGTACTTAACTCCGTAATAAATTAATCGTGCAGTGTTTTCAAAATAATTCATGACACAGTCTAATTTCTTTTTCGTGAAAATCACATCGAAATTTCGAGTGACAGTGAATAATTTCAGCAGTGACAAGAAATAAAAAAAAGAAATAAAGAGTGTGACTTTTATTCGAGTGTTTGACAATCTTTTTTTAAATATTCTACGTAAGTTCACTATCAGAATATAGTCTATGGTTTTAGGTTTAACAAGTAACGAATCATGACACCAGGTGTTTAGTGTTTTATCGTTTGTTCTATAGTAAGAATATAACTCTTTTAGACTACAAATACATTTTACATAAATGCAACCTGCAAATGAGTTTCGAAAAAATGTCATGTTACAAAATAGCGTGCACGAGTAGATGTCGCGTTTGGTGTTTTATACTGAAAACAATGCCACACTACATGCAACCTATAACAAGTCATTACAGTCGTAATAACTTTCGAACGTTATCTTTACAATTTTTCGGTTTTAGAGAAAATCTAGATTACCGGCACCGTTAAGGAGTTCCTGTACTTAATTACAGCATATGCTATAATTACACGCGCTGCAATTAAGACGATTATATTTCCGACAAATTCCAATTTCTGGAAAATCTGAAGTGGAAAGAAGCAAAATTCGAATCAGTCAATATAGTATGGGCTACAATACAATATTGTAAACTCAGTCAGAAGTTAAAATAAACATATATCAGGAGACAAGCGAATTGACATAAATACAAACAGATAAGGATCCGAAATCTTGACCAGGGACGTAAAAAGAAATATATAATCCAGTGTCAATGTACTTCATACAATTTATTGGAACAAATATTCGTACTTACATTACAAGGTCTTACAACTTTTTAATTTGTTGACATAGTAATTAATGCTTACAGTCGCTTTACTTGCAAGTGAGTTATAATTGGTTGTGCGATACTATTCTTTCATGGCGTTGGACGCTAAAATAGAACGTAACTCATGGGCCTAAATGTGGCGACATCAGTCGGTGCCGCTTCTTAATAACTTGATTTATTACCTTACTGTATCATGGTCTATATTATATTTCTTCATTTCTAGAAAAGTATGAGAAAATGTGCATTGACTGTTTTGGATATGAACGAATTATGCTACTACATCACGAAGACAATGCAGTTACAGTGTTCTTATTAACATATGTTCAATCTGTATTGTATCTGAAGCATTAAATTGACCGTGATATTCGTTCACTGAAAAAAACGAGTTACATTTCGAAGATGTAGGTCTAGGGCCCGGATCGACGGATTCGTGTTACGAAATATAAATCTGAAATGATTAATCGTTTGCATACGATTTTATACAGTCTGCACGATTGAAGTAAAAGTCACGATAAGCAGTTACACAAACCGGTCGTAGTTCTCCTACGAGATAAGTTGCGTCTCAACGGTGTTTCACCTAGAAATGAGTCATTCTTGCTACAGCGAAGTCTTATTTGATGTCTTACTAATTAACGATTCCTTTTTTGATTTTAGATATAAATAATGATGACATAAAAAAAGTGGGAAAAATAATTTGACGCATCGCATATTTTTTAAAACTGACAGTAAAATATTTAGTAAAAGGTAGAGGTTTGAAATGTTTTTAACTTCTTATTACCTCGACATTGCTTGTAATTATATTTTTCAAGTCTAAGCATCGCATATTTTTGCACACGTGAATTGTGTATCAGTTGACCGGAGACGTTAACATTGACTGATTATTTTTATCCAAGATATGTTTGGAGATAAATTTCGTTTGCATAAGGTATTTCATTTGCTTTAAGGGAGTGTCTGTTTAAGTGATACCAAGGACTTTTCATGGACACGTGCGCCACTAGTATATATATCTTATATCTGTTCTTTTATCTTGAGTTTTATTTATTGATTTATAAAAAATTGGTATTAGATTGCAAATGTGAATGTATTGATAAGATCTAAAGTTTATCTAGCGGTAAAGTGCAATTTTTAAATAGTTCTTTAGTCATTAGATGTGTTTCAAATACGATTGATTACTTCAGATCAGTGGTAAGACAGAGGACGGATTCGCAAAATGTCTGAGTACTGCGAGTACATGTGGGACACCACGAGAGGTCACGCAAGTCCAGCTCTGGCACGGAGTATTTACGAGGAGGAGACCAGATTCGACAAACGCGACAAGAAATTGGCCATTAAGACCGTTCGAGCGATATTGCGTGAAATGCCGGATGTAGGTAAGAAGGGACTCTTTCACAACGATTGAAATTTCCACCGTTATACGGCTGGAATTATTGAAGCTTTTTGCGTATCAGAAATATCAAAGTGAACGTACAAAAATAATTAAAGATGTAGGTTTCTCAGAATAATTCATGTTCCTTTTTTTCCCACTGTGTCTAGAGAAAGAAATAAGGGAGTGTGAAAGTTCGAAGCTCTATCCTCTCTTGAAGATTTATATTCCGAAGAACTTTTCCTACATTCAAATTGGGCAAAAAATATTTACCAAGGCATAGTACACGCATTAGTACTTTTCATTCAACCAGTCCCGTTAACGATAGTAAACCATTGTCCCGTTTCATACAAACAAATGAAGTTTCGCCTAGACTGATTTGTTTTCCAAGCGTCGATCCTCGAATTTCCGGCATAATGTCCGCGTTCGAGCAACTTCCTGCCGGTTATTTTTTCACGTGAAGCATTACAATGACCCGTCTCTTTACTCCTAGATCTGAAGCACTGCACGGATGAATATATTACGCGTTTCCTGTTGGCCCGGAAATATCGTACGGAACAAGCTGCTGCCCTGATAGCTGCTTATCAGGCGCAAGTAGCGCATCGACAGGATATCTTCGGCAATCTAACGGCCAGAGATCCAGCCTTGCAACGGGCTCTACGTGCGGGAATACCGGGTGTGCTTCCTGCACGCGATAGGTAATATATTAAAATTTTAATTCATTTCTGATCTAATTATAAAATTCTTAAATTTCTTTTTTACTTAAATTTGTATCAATATTTATACGCATATAGCAAACTTCGTACTTTTGTGTATTGTTTAAGAGTAATTTTTTTTCGCCAATTACTATAATTTTTCTAATTATCAAGTTTTTATATATGACCAAAGTATAAATTTAACTGTACGATATTATAGTATATTTTTAAAATTAAATTTCAGGAAAGGCAGATGCGTGCTCGTTATTTTAGCCTCGCAATGGGATCCGATTGCTGTACCAGCGTTATCAGTTCAACGAGCAATTTTTTTAGTCCTGGAAATTCTTATACAAGATCCAAGGAATCAGGTACGAATGGTTTTGTGTACTTTTAAGTTACGAACATATAAAGTGAAATTATTTAAAGAGCAAAGATCTACTATGCTATACCTCTGAACGTTCTATTTTTTTTTCTAGCAATCCGGTTTTGTGGCGGTGGTAGATTGGAGCGGATTCTCTTTACGACAGGGCGGTGCCTTGGGCGCAGCAGCACTGCGAAACTTAATAGCTGCTCTTCGGGGACGATTTCCGGCTAGATTCAAAGCTATACACTTCCTGTCGGCGCCGCTTTACGTTCAGGCCACATTGGCCCTTGTGAAACCTTTCTTGGACGAAAAAACTCGAAATAAGGTAGAGAGAAGTTATGGAGGAATAAATTATTGGTCTAGTTATCAGTATTTTTCTCAAATATACTTAGATTACGGAAATTAATGAATGACATTAATTTGAAACAGAAATGATATTTATCGATATATTAAAAGTATTTATTAACAATACTGTTATTTGATTAAATGATTATAATCGTATCAGACAAAATGATTAAGGACAAGACAAAGCTTTTGATTGCTCTGTTTATGATTGCATTGTATATGATTACTTAACATAGAAATTGATGCTCTTTTGCATACAAGTTTTAGATACGGGACATTAAATATTGACCAAAAGATAATTTAAGATAGCACCTGTGGAGCGTCACGATGTTTGGATAAAGTGCGAATGCATTATTCTACTAAATGAGCGTTCTCTCTAATTCCGGCGAATTTTAAGTTCTTAACAATGAATCCTTCGACAATGTGTTTAATTCCGTTTTATTGAATTTATTATATAATTAATATACATTTCATTAATATTTCCAGATCTATTTACATGGAAACAATTTGAGTACCTTGCATGAACACCTACCTACTGACATTTTGCCAGCGGAACTAGGTGGTACAGGGCCAGCATTTAATCCAGGACTATGGGCTGAACCAGTTATTCATTCAGCGATGAAAGAAGCCGAACTTGCTGCAATAAAGAAAGAAAAGGAGCGAGCTGAAAACGCAGAACAACCTTTTGATAAGAAAATCGAGTCCAAAGACATGGAGAATCACAAGAGAAATGAGGCAGACTCTATAAAATCCAACAGTGGTGTAAATAAAGAAAACGGAAGGCGATTCTTCAATCCTTTTAGTAATTCTATGAAAAATCAATCTCCAAAGAAAATTGGAGGGACAAATGTAGAACTGAATCTAATTAATCGCACTAATGCATATGCAGAAAGGAAAGAAGGTGGAAGGGACAGTAGGACGATAAAGGAAGATCAGGATTCTTATTGTAGAAGTCGAGATAAAATGTTAAACAATGGCAACACCGATTATTTTGACGACAAAAGAGAACGTTACAAAGATGCGAAGGATAATTTGTTAGGATCTCAGTCTGAAAGAAACTCGAATGAATACGAGATCTCAAATAGACCAGATAGCGACGATAGTAAAGATAATTCATTAGATAACCGATCTGAGAATGCACTGATTGAAACGGGTAAGATCGATACTCTTTCAGAAGAAACGAATCTCATAACGTAATGTTAGTTTTTGGGCCACTTAGGTTAAAACAAATTAATCGAGGACTTACGTGAGGAGCGTTGACATTGATTTTACTTACAGTTAAATCAAATGTTCTCGCTAAGTTTAGGATTGGTAAAGAATAGTAAGTTTTGTAAAACGACTTATATTCTGTAGATTATAAGAAATATATTGTGATACAGTATATATCATTTTTAATAAGTATTTAAACATTAATGAGGCTTTTATTCTGACTTATAAAAAGAAAACTTAGCCTCAACTGGAGGTAATACTTTATTTGAATATTAATAGAAAAATGAATTCATTTTATAAAAATTTTCAACATTTATTCCGATTCATAGGTGTTATACGAATGATGTAAAAATTAATATTGGTAACACGTGTTACAAGAATCATTGCTAATGATGTTAAAAAAAATATATGCTTTTTTTAAATACTTATATATTGCTACCATTGTTCGTAGCAAAATAAAACGAACCTTGCTCGAACATTTCTTATGTTCCTCTTTCTATTGTATGTAATAAACATATTTACATATAATTTTATAATTTATAATGAGTACTTACATTGCGAATTAAAGTTTATAATATATTTATCAAGGTAATTTTTTTAGTTGACTTTTAATGTTGTCTATGAAGTTACGAGCATAAATAAAAATATTTTCGTATGTATGCAATTCATACATCATCCACATTTTTTAAAAGCATTTTTACAACGAACAATTCGTATTAGGATTGTATATATGTATTAAATTATTTATTGATATCTAATGTATCATGAAATCGAAGATCTCTCATTTTGTACCACATACCCGAGAAAAACTCCACTTAGAATTTTAAATGTGATAGAAATGCGTCATGGATATTTTTTTAGTTCTCTTAAAACTGTATTTTTAAATAAAATAGTATTTTAATATTTGGATTATTTTTGTCTGGCTTTATTTTATATTAAGAACAAGACCATTACAAAAAATTCAAATTTACAATTATTATTATAAAGTAAATCAATAAAATTGTAGATTGGAAAAAATTTTAATTTCCTATAAAAGTTGTACATTAGTTATTTTTTTTTTTTTTTAATACATAAATCAGTCATTGGCGAAATAGAAATTGTGGTAGAATAATGGAATAAAAATTTATTTGTTTAGTATATAAAATATATATGTATACGATGTTAACATCAATATATATTATAAATAAGCAAGCAAAATAAAACAAGGAAGCACCCTACTACCATGTAATTCGTGTTTCTCCATGCATACATTTTCTCTCTCTCTCTCTCTCTCTCTGTCTCTTCCTCTCTTGCTCTCTCATTCGATTCGTATGAAAATAGAAAATCGTATAGAGATCTATGATGAGGTATATAAAAACGGTAGTCAAATATAGTGTAGTACTTTACTTATGTACAAATATTATTACTTCTTTGAACATGATTTTTCTTAGAAAAATGTATCCTTTAACATCAATTTATAAATATAAATATATGCATGTACATATGTATACATATACATATATATATACTTATACGCGCACAATTTCGCGTGTTCGGCGAATCTTAGTTTCTACTTGATTATATAAACCAATACGAAAATTTTTGTATTTATCATATTACGTATACTCGTAAGAATTTCAGTCCCTTTTTAGATTTTTCCGAAATATGTAACACATAGGATATCATCTGCCTTTTCAATACGACTTTGTACTTTACCTTATGATTTTCTGGTACGAATTAATCAGGTGTAAATTAGTTATCGAAAAATAATGATGGTCAAATATGATAAAAAGAGACTTTATGCATCATATTATGTATTGCATTATTGTCTAATAGACAAATGCATCACACCACGACTAGTGGAGGTACCCAGCCTCCGAAACGTTGTTGTAGCTCCTGAGCAACGGCTATGGTTAAACGATCTTGATGTAGGCCACCAACAATCTATAATGGATATAATTTACATCATATTAAAATTCTTAGTTTATTAATTTATTTTATTGATACTGATGTATAAATTTTGTACCTGTATACCAATAGGAAGTCCTTCTTTATTCAAACCTAAGGGGCAAGCAGTAGCAGGTAACCCCAAGACATTAATAATAGCAGTGTATGAAAAGTTGAATGGTTTAACCAGAGGTTCATGATGCAATGGTGCCGCAGTTGGGTGCGTTGGGTATAGAAACACACCGTCTTCGCCTAAAATATCCTATTAAAAATAAATCAATTAGAAGTGAATAATAGATACATTTAGGAAAAAGAAAAAATCTGGATATTTCTGGGTACATGCTTCAACTTCAATCACTCATTTTCTCGTCGCGTGAACACAACTACAAGGTGAAAACAGATTTACAAAAATAATAGAGCTCTTTGCTATTAGGATGGAGAAAGTTTCATTCTGCATGCACAGCAACATCTTTTTGCTACTTATTAGAAATAACTCGTGATACCGTGAAAGACAAACTAGTATAGTCTGACCAGTTCGCACGAGATACTCGAGAAAGAAATCACGTCCATTTTAATAAAGAGTATTGTTCCGCAATGTAATAGTAAGAAAGGAAGACGAAGAAGGTAGGAGCCAATTCCAATCCTGATGAGTTATATTACAGGCACTTATCAATTTATGATATTGTATGAACAGTTCATAAAAAATAAGAAATCATTGATATAATTCATAAATATGAATGATTTATTTAGAGACCATACCTGAAATTCTTGATAAAGATCCCTACTTTCTTGTATGAGTTTAGCGTGTTTCTCGCTTCCATGCTTTACTGCAAATCTTTCAAACGTGGCAGTAAGGAGAGCTATCAACGTGTGATTACTCATGAACAGTGTCCATTTCAAAAACTCCCACCACAGATTTATATGACCGTCTCTATTCGATAATTCGTATGTAAAATCTTTTTCATCCTTACAACTCATATTCGCCAACCAGAGTTCAATGCTTTTTTTAAGCTTTTTAATGTTCAATTTAGTAGCTTTAACTTTATGGGTTTGCTCTAGATACCGAACCACTTTTCTCATGGCTTCTTTTATCTCTGGTTCAACTGGAGATGTCAAGAATTGACCACCATCGTCTTCCATATAATAGAACTAAATTAAAATGAATTATACATTATATATTACACATGATCATTAATTATGATTTATGTTTAACATCCGTACCTTAAGTTTTGAAATATCTACTGTTTCGTTCAATCGTAATAAATGCGCATTCTTATTTGCAAGAATTTTCAAAGTAGGCAGTAGATCTTGTGCATATCTGCACATAGGACCAATTGCGAGCAAGCGATCCTGGTCTTCACTTTGTGTACTCGGATACTGGCCATCGTTTGAAACTATTCCTGTAGAAGGTTTGTGACCAAAGATGCCATTGAAATAGCTCGGTATACGAATAGAGCCACCAATGTCTGATCCTATCCCTAATGGTGAACCAGCTGCTGCTTGAATGCAGCCTTCACCACCAGAAGATCCTCCAACAATATGTCTGGTATTATAAGGATTTTTTGTAGTTCCATATAAACAGTTACTAGTTTCCCACCACATAGCTAGTTCTGATATATTCGTGGTCGCCAGAGGGATAGCCCCAGCAGCTCTCATTAATCTGACAACTTCCGCATCACGTTCAGAAACAATATTCTTACGAAGTACTAAACCAGCTGTTTGTTTCATATTAACAATTCCAATGCAGTCCTATAACAAAAAATAGAAAACAATTAGTTGACTTGAATTAATAGTTAAAATTACTGTACCACATGTATGTCATATTCTATAGAGTATAATTTACCTTTGTTGTAAAAGGCACACCAAGAAAAGGTTTTTCTTCAGCTAATACTTCAGGAGATGGAGCATCTTGAGATTTCAAAAAATCATCACATGATTGTGCCTCCTTTAAGGCCTCCTCAAAACGTTCTTCTACTACACAGTTTAGTATTGGCTGAATTTCTTTTATCCTATCTATATATAATTGTACTACCTCCTTTGAAGTTAACTGTAAATATAAATTTTCTCTAATGAATGTATAAGTGTTTATTAATATAGTTTTAATTTGTCATTTTAGAAGTACCTGCAAGTTTCATAGGTATCTGTACGCAGATATAATTTGTGTATGAAAACATTAAATTTACCAATTTATTTCGAATCCTAGAAGCTAAAGCAACTGCACTATGTAAAAGTATTTCATCCTTTATAGGTGGTTGACATTCTGCAGGACCCTTTAAGAATGCGATGAACATGTACATCCACCTGGCCATTGTTTCAACTAGACGATGAACTGCATTTAATACTTGTCTTTTGGATTGCATTTTGCTTTGATGTTTAGTTGACATTTATCTGCAAACATTATTATTTTGATTATCCATTGTTATATTATAGCATAATATAAATACAATTTCAATTAGAAGACATACATGTACATATATGTTTATGTATATGTAACATCATTTGATTAATTACAAATCTATTACTTCCGTAATTTTAATATCAATGATAATCATAATATGATATATCATATATATCAAAATATTAATTTCTGTTCCATAATAAATATAGTCCAAATTTTTTGAACTAATAATTTTATTTATTATTAATTAATAAATAAACATTGCAATAAATATTATAAAACTATTAAGTAATGTCTAGATAAAAATATTTATTTTTAAAAATTCTTTGAATTTAAAACTCAAAAATCATAAAGTTTGGAACATAACAGATCTATCTTTCTCTTATATTATTTGCAGTACTTATTTTTGAAAATTTATTCCTGCGTTCGCTAATCTAGATAAACGTTAATTTTAAAAACAAGTGTAAAAGAATACATAAAAAAAAAAAACTTAGAAAAGTAATAATTGTCAATAAACCTTTGCTATAAAAGATGATACGGTAAACAAATTATTTTTATTATTCGAAGTTATGTTTACGCTTGCTATAGAAAGCGGTAATTTCTAAACAAAAGAAGATTTATCTAAACATATTTTTGTTTGACAGACAACGTGTGTCGGTATTTAAAAAAGAACTTAAAAAAAAAAAAAAATTGGAAAACACTGTCAATTTTTCTTTGAAACAAAAAGATTCAACAACTTTGTTATCGCTAGTTTTGTAACCGTATTTTAAAATGATAAAAGCTTTACATAAATATTTCTGTTATTACGTCGTTTAATGATATTTGAAAGAGGTTACCACATTGCGTTGACAAAGTTTGGAACAACGTATAATTTAATATATTTTTACACAAATTATAATTCCATGTGTAACTAATATATTTTAATATACCAAAATCATCAAACAAAAAATATCATGAAATTGAACCGCATTGTGTTCAGATCCATTATACCATTAAGTATTATGAGATCCACGTTGATTGGCTGTATCACCTGAATCGTTATCTTTTCCTACATATCAGTTTGCTAATGTTAATTAATTGATTGACCTTGGGTAATGAATTATCTCGCTGTCAGCTTGGTGTGTGGGTTTTTATGAGAAACGCCGGCCGGTTGTATCGATTAATCGGGCGTACCACAAATGGCTGAAGGGGCAAGCATTGACGTTTCACGGCTTACATCTGAATAAATTCTTTCGAAGTGAACAAATACCGGCAGTGCAATAATTTTAGTGCGCTGACAGACCAATAATGATGTAATTGAGGTGTTACGCACCAAGGCTACCAGCTACCAAACCATAGGAGTTTGACAGTGTTCGTCGAGCCGGAAATCAACTCGTACCATATTTCAGGCGGTTGGCTATGATAGTGTTTTCCGTCGGTTGAAAGTTTCTTGCCATGAAGTCATTCGCGTGACAGAGAGGCTTCAATTCGTCGATAGACACGTGAAAACTTAGAGATTTACAAACTGTGATCGAAATGTTACACTGAACGAACTTGTCTAACGGGCATGGTTAATCGACGATAGTCACGAAGTTATTCACATAACGGTAATTGAGTCTCTAAACATTCCAGCGATAAATAATTTATCATCAAAGTATGAAATGAATTTCACGTACGTATTTAAAATAACACGAAAACTTTCTGAGATTATTGACTGTGAATAGTTGAAGTTTTGATGTATCAAAATATAAAAATTGCAATCACTAAATAACGCAGAGCGTTTATTAGTTAATGTACTTACAATGGTACTTTGTTTGGAGAGTCAACTGGAAAAACTTGTGAATTAGTGAGTGACTCAATATCATGTGATATTTCACTAAAATAAAACTGATTTAATTCACGATTCATCAATAGGGCGATATCACGCCTTCTATGACGTCGCTTTTTCCGGCACTTGTAGTTAACTGACACCACATACACCTTCACCGGTAACGACTATACGGGATTCGCGCAATCGCTATAGTTGCTCGCCAGCCTGGGACTTACGACCTTTTATGCGCTGAAGAGATATTTAACGGGTCGGGGATAGGCTGTAAGATGGCTGCCAGGTAGCGATGGGAAGGACACCCACACGAGCGATATCGATAATTTTATGAAATATATTTTGCATATACAAATTTTATTAAATGTGTTTATAAATTAGTACTTGTCTTATAAACCCTTAGTTTCGGAGATAATATTCTCACATGTACTTTTAAACAAATATTTGTATAATAATGAAATTAAATGCTGATTATTGTTGCATTTGGTGATTACATTTCTATTGGGATTTTTAACACCAAATGCATGAATTTTATATAGTATATTATTATCATCGTTATTTACCGACTATTTTAATGTTCATTTACTAGTTTGAAAAAACGCGCGCAAGCGACATCTTTGCTGATTAGTTTTAAGCAGTACGTGGTTTCAAAAGTTTAATGGTGTTTTATTTTTACACGTTCTTCCATGTGGGTAAAATGCTTCGAACTCGTATGCGTACACCTGTTATGCAAATGCTTATGTTTTTTCATTTCTTAAATAATATCTTGCAACACATAATTAATCATAGCAAAATGTCGATTATCTTATTAATGACATATGCTAGACAATCACAAAAACAATATGTAGTTTTGCACAAAATACGGTTTGGAATTTAGTTTGTTAAACACTATATTTACACGACACGGTTTACTCTGTTTTATATTTTTAACTATTTTAAATTTTAATTCTCCTCAATCGATAAAAATCTTGTAAAATTTCCACTATATTTCTGTCGATTTGTCTGTTTACCTGATCTTTATTTTCCTTCTGCTCTGCTACCTCCTTGTTGGAGTCGCAATGAAAACTTCATTGAAACGCGTTTGATATCGTTCGAAAACTTCCGAATGCTGATTCACAAGAGGTTGCCAGATGGCAATTCGATCGCTCGCCATCAGCGAGCGAAGCAAATGGGTAGGGATGAGGACAAGGCGTCAGTGTGTGTGTGCGCGCGTGCGTATGTGTATACGTAGGGTGAATGTCACTTTGTGGCCACTTGCTTCTTTATCACTCGACAAAGAACGCTCATTATCCTCGGTGATTTTATTATTGGCCGCGTCTCGTGCTAAGTTAACGACGTAGCGGTATAGTGCAGTGAAGACTGGTTCCTACGTCTTCTATCCTGACATGCGGCTCACGATTGCCGATCACCTTTTTGAGGTTAGCTCACGAGCGTGCGGCTTCGCGCCGCAGTATTGTCTCGCGAAAACGTTCGTGTTCACTATCCACGCGTTTCAATCCCTGAGTTTTTCCTCTGATCGCGTCACAAGGTTGTCGAAGAACGTCAAACAATCCATTAGAATATTTTCTGGATAGTCTGGAGGTCGAAAAACGAGTTGGGTGTCGTCTCACGCCAGCCATTCCGTTTCGCCGTCTCGTCTCTTACTCCCACTCACGGCCGACTTTGATTATCATCGTTTTATTAATATTTCCACACGGGAGTGACTCTCACCCTTGCGATGGCAGCTACGTACACTACTTTGGACCGAGTACGTCTGGCTTTACATACATCACCCTCCGTCGCTAATTTACCTACTGTTTGAAATTGCTACGCCGATGTTGGAAATTCATACGAATTAAATTAGCATTCGTTTTCTTTGCGTTTTTTTACTTATCTTAATAGCTCATTTAATTGTCGTGCGTTTATACGTCTAATTTGCGATTGCTCAATGTTGCTTTTACGTCGAAATTAATAGTCGTTATTTTATTTACTATGACTCATCGAAGATATAATATACCAATTGCAAGGAAAAAAGAAATTATACGTAATTATTTTTTTAGTTGCACTCAATAACTGTTCCATTTATTGTTCGTATTACAACTGCCTTTTATTTCTTCGTTCATAAAACATCGCTTAATTTTTGTTTGTCTTAAATTACTGCATTACCATTTGAGTAATGATTTCGTAACGACACGTATGGCTATTACAATAACATTAAGTCATGACTTTTTTCCATCGCGTTTATATCCGGTACGTCTTGTCCAGTCTTTAACCTCGTGTCATCGTATATCTTTCTTCCTCCATGTCTGCTGACTGGTGTATTTAATAGCGCTCGATGTATTTCGGATATCGGTTTATTGAACTACTTTTAGCATTGCATTGCGATTCACTCGTGCTCGCGCAACCTATTTTAATTTCTCAGTGACATGTTCTTATTGATATTGAATTATTTAAAGAATTTTTCAATTCTTTCTTTTCCTCTAGAATTTTACGATCTTTCAAAAGACGCAGTAAGTTGACAACTTGAGTTAATACGTGGCGTTGGACATAAACGTACGAAATTTCTTTCTTTAATACATTTCTTTCTTCACGCGAATTTGTATATATTGCAACATTTAGAAACATGGGCGTGGTTCATGAATTTTTCGAAAACAGTCTTTTTACTATTCCTTTACATAATATAAAAATGTAACATAACGAAGTTCGTCATAGATATTTCTCTTTATTAAAATAAGATACTTTTCCATGAAAATTATTCAAGTATTATACCTCTGTGTGTTACTCGCACCGTGACATGAAAATCACGGAGAAAGTGATGCGAATATTTCCTTCTCCCGTTGCCGGTTTCGCTTTCTACATTTTTGTAACGATTATTTCTCCGCGATACCTATTACGCATAACTTCACGATAAAATAAAATTTTAAGTGGGCGTGTCACAACTCTATTTGTTCAGCGATTCCGTACACGGCGGGAACTTCCGGCATTTTAAGTACCACAGTTAAATGACATCGGTAGCTTTTACTTTAAATCTTTTTGTACTTGCACCGTTTGTGCTTGCCGCTGACCATTATTACCGTTATTTAACATATCTCATTTTTTTTCCTATCATAATTTCCTTTACCCTCTACGATTTCTATTTCTAATTTTTTATTACACATTTTTCCAATTTTTTTTGTCACATTCTCCTTCTCTTACCGTTGCTTTCTATAAATAATCAAAATAATGTCACAGACCAAAACGTTATTATCGTTTTACAAACAAGTATATACTATAGCAGTATGGATTCCAATAACCATGTTAAATTGAACCCGACCAACTTCAATAAAGGAAACCTTGACCCCCCATTCGAAACGAATCGGTTCTCAAACGTGAGCCAGTCAATGCAACAGTTTTTCCTTTGTTTCTCAGGATTCGGTGGGCTGCTACTATGATATAGTTTATGCTGCGAGAGTATAAACTATAAACCCGCCTTTCTGAACGGGAAGAAGAGGTTAGAGGCAAGATGAAGAAAGGGACAGATGCGGACCAAGGAAAAGCAGATAAAGTAGAGGCGAAAAACGATGCCAAGGACATTCAAGAGAAGATGAAGAAGGTTGATATGAAGTCCTCGTCGCCGACCAGCGTTTTGGCGAAGAACGCAGTATTGTTACCTAGTGGAGTTGCTCGAGTGAAGCAAGTCCAGAACGCTAGGGAAATTAGTCAAACAGGATCATCGTCAGGCTCGGCTACCGGTGAGTTAGCGTACTTGTTGTTGGAAAATAAGCTTCTGAGCGTAGCTTTTAACTGTTTGCTTATTTAGAATTTCAGCTCACCAATTAGTTGCTTTTTGGAAAATTAGCGTGATCTTCGATGTCAGATGCAGGGTAAAATTTATTTTTATTTTTATCGCGAATGGTTGTTTAATACTGAAGCTAAACTCTGTAAGATCATATCGAAGTAAAGCTCATTTTGGCTAGAATTTATCTACGAGGTAATTTTCATATGTTTACTAATTACAATGATAATTAATTGCTCCAAAGTATTTATTATAATACCATCTTTTTAGACAAAAATCGACATCCGAAGAAAGGTTTTGTTCATGCAAACAGTTAAAAGTATGAATAACCAAGCTCTCTCTCTCTTTCTCTTTCTCTCTCGTGCATCAAAAGAAATCCATCATTGTTAAACGTCGTTGCATCATTTCCTGTAGCTCGTGCTGAGTCGTTTACGATTTACAAGGATCGATCCGAAGTCCCGCAAATTGTCCCACAACTTCGTGAAACTTAAATCGTCTCCAGGCTTATAGCATCCTTGACGTGCTATCATAGTAAACCGAAATGGTGATTAATTGCTGTTAAACGCAATTTAAATCCTATCAATTAAGCAAACTTTGATCATACCTTACCAGAAATTCGATTTGACATAATCGCTTCGCATAAATGCCCGAGCAAGGTCTGCTGGAACAAAAATTGTATCATTTTACTCTCCCTCTTGGAAATTCCGTAATACTGTAATAAAAATTTCAGTTAATAGTTCCACAGTCGATAACGTAGTATTCTTGCAAATTAAAAGCTGTTATCGACAGCTATGTATTAATTTCTGCGCAAATTATAAATAGTGATTGGATTACTTTGGATGCCATGTCTTTATCTTTTGCCTTACGTTCTCGAGCTTCAAGAGATAGCCTTTCTAAATATATTAGTGGACAGAGAAAAATTGACAATATGTACAATAGGATAGGTACTTCACAGAAGATTACTGTTCATCTCGTCTCCATGTATCGTTTCGATTCACCTTTAAACTCGCTTTTACGGTTGTCTCAGTTGCTTTGGCTAGTCGAACGCCATCGGCTGAATGCCTCCATTCATCGCAGCAATCGATTCTCAGCAGGATCATGCCCGGTTCGCATTATTGGGTCAGGATAGGGCAGGGCAGGGCCGTTTGGCGGGTATATTTTGTCCCCTGTCCTGTCCCGATAGTGAGAATCGGTGTTACTCGGAGTCGCAATTGGAAGGAGGAGTCATCGTGGGACTGGGATCGTCGATTCCCCTCTGTAAACAATTTTTCTCATTGGAAGTCGTTCCCGATTTACATTATTGGGTCAGGATAGGGTAGGGCAGCGCCATTCGGCATAACCATTCTGTCCCCTGTCCTTCCTCAATAGTGAGAATCGGTGCTGGATCGGGATTTTGAACGACTATTCTCTTTCTTTATTCTTTGTCATCGATTTGGTCCATCTAGGGGGATGAAATGTACGGGCAATTAGCGAATTTCAAATTTCAAACGTTAATTTGGTAATCAACACATTATAGCTTATCTGTGCATCCCTTGGTGGATAATATGTACTAACTTTTTGCGGTTCTATTCCTTTTTCTGCGTTCAAACTAGTTCACCATTACTCGGTCTCTTATATAGGTACCTGTATGTATGTACATTGTCATAAAAATGATACACTCTTGTTTTCTGTAAATTTTAATTCTCACATGTTTCAATATACTTGAAAGACAATTTGGAACCGCAAGGGGTTAAGGGTTAGATAAAATTAGGTATAGTCGATTTATAGTTAATTTACTTGGTATTTTTGTAATTAGAATAATGGTCTTACGTAACAAATGAACGTTCAGTAGACTCTAAATTACATATAGATATTTTGCAGTAAATGTATTATTCTTACATGATTTTATTATGATAGACCAAGTAACTTAGCGATCTTGAACTCAAAATTTTTGCTTCCAGTTATAGCATACCATTAAGGAATCGTTTCTTTATGATTGCGTTTCATAATCGTTGCTCAGCTTCGAATACCATAGGGTTCGGAGCTTGTAAACGTTTTAATCGAACACTTAGCGTGGCTCTTAAATCCTTTAACACGTAGGCGGCAGACGTATCGAGCATTAAACTTAATTGGCCATATTACGCCTTAATTGGTTTAAATAGTTTTAATCCCGGTTCTGGAATCCGATCAATCGATTATTTTCATTGCTACCATCTGACTCTGTAGACGTGTTTAAATTAGACACACGTATAAATAGCGTCGGAATGTGATCACTTTTTCCACGTCATTATGTTTCTCGTCTGAATAATAAATATATCTCGGAAGAATACGTCAATATTTCTTATCTGGTAATAAAAAAGCTGACAATAAAAAAGGTAATAAAACAAGGAAATCAAGGACAGATAAAAGATAAACACTATACTTATGATATTTTTCTTTGCACTCTTATTCCTTAAATATATTTAAGAAAAAGTACATTCACGATTAGTCATAAGATTCGTCTCTTAGGAATAAGTACTAAAGTTTTTAATGTTTTTCATCGGTGATTCCATAAACATTGGGAGCTTGGCATAATAAACGCTCTTGAAGGCACTTAGACGAAAACCCATTAGGACGTATAGGATGTCACTAAAATGTTTGTCTAGTTGGAAAACGTGGAGGATTTATTCTCGGTCATTACTGAAACAGTTCGTCATGGTCTTCGCGTCATCGCAAGATAGGAAACATTTGTTAATTTTATATCCGATATAGAATGTTGTAATGGAAGATCAATATCTCCCGTGGAAATGGTTCTTCTGATCAAGCAATCGAGTTTTCCTCGGTTACCGGGTATCAACTGATCATTTCCTTCAGCGAATCCTCCTTCGAGAAACGATAGATTCGCATACTGGGCGAAGATGGAAACGATGATGGTATTATTCGGTCTCTCACAAGATCGAGAGAGCCACGAGTTTTTCGATTTACGATAATTAAATGGAAAGTAGCACCAGATAGCGAAGGTTCTTTTGATAGTATAGGTTCTTTTTATTTAGTTCCATTTTAGGTTTAAAAATTGGTGTAACTTAGGGATTGCCTGTATTTTAAGGAACTGCAGGAATTGTAGTAGTGCTGGCATAACAATGACTCGAATGACTACTTCATCACATTACTCATGGGTAATAACATCATTATCCACTTGCCTGGAAAACTGTTCGTGTCAGAAGTAACAGGATTAAGTTCCCTCTAATTAGTAAACCCTCTGTCAACTTCACAGAGCACGAGCACTTGTAACAGGACATTTACATATTGGACAACAAAAATCTTGGAATAATTCCTTAATCATTTTTCTTTTATCCATTCTTCCAATCCTATCTAACTTAACATACTACATTACTCTGTTCCACAGAAATAATATCCATGACCAAGCATACTTAAAGCAAATAAAAAATCGAAGGGTGAATTCCTCAGCGTGAACAGCTCTATAACTATACTATGAGAGTGTCATGTACAAAGAGGAAGAATTATTATCCCCAACATCCGAGTCTCTCATCCTAAGAATTCATTCCGTATACTATACACTGCGGAACAATGTCTCCAAATCCTCCCTGTGTAAGCCATCGTCGTTCAGAAGCTCTGCGTAACAATGGCCACGATACATGCTAAGCAGCTTTAGCTAGCAAAGCTACGAATAAAACCGTGTCGTGGCCAGCTCCTCGGAGAGGGTTAACAATCGAGGGATGATTCGTCAGCGTTCATCCGAATCAGCGAGGAAGGCACCAGAGCTCTCTTCGTCGATCTCCGCGGCCAGAGAGCCACGCGCTCACTGGCGAGATCCTGCGTGTTAGGCAGGCCGTAGCTACTATATTGATCTACCTGTCCGAGGGCTATATCGGGCCGCATGTTTCGGTGCAGTACCTTCTAGTCCACCAGCGCGGGATCAACGTTTCGCCTTGCTGCATCTATCGCGATCATGTTCTCCTAAAACAGTTCGTAGTTCAGTGCTCGTGTCAATCGACATCCTCTCAATTCGTTAACTCTACAGACTCTAACGTCAAAACCCTTTTACGGGTACCTTGAACATTCCCTACCTTCAGCTGGACGTTCGACAGAGAAGATGAACCTTTTAACATTCGTTTAGAAAGTCTCCTAGTACGGACATGTCTTCGGTGTCACCATGACGGACTCCTCTGAATAGACAGGTCCTGCGTGGCTCACGTTCTTCTTGGCTCGTGATTCCGGTCACGAAGGATCACACTGGAAACGAGGATCGATCGACGGCTGGTCGTACGAGTTAATTTCCGTTTTCCTGGGATATATATATGAGGGTTCTCGACGTCGCCCTGGTCTCGCCGTGCAGGTAACGCGTTCCCGCCGTTTCTCTTTCGCGGTTCCTACCCGACATGGCGGGCCGAGGTTTGTTTGCATTTTTCCTCCGCTGCGAAGCAACCGTTTGCGCGGGATGTAGTCCGCGTCCTGTTTTTCGTCTGTTTAATCGCGACTCCTGCTTACTCGGGGTCGGCCCTCGCTGGTTTTTCATTTCGTCGCCGTTTTTCCGGGCTAGTCGATTGTCTTAGCGGGCTGGAACAATAGCCTCCGGCACGAGTAGCTGTGCTTCTGTGAAAAGGTTTTAATTTTCCGTGGAAATATATCATTTCGCGTGACTACATTGAGTTTTTAGCCAGGTGCTTGCTTCTCGTTCTTTACGGTTTGTTTTTCCGATTAGATGGCAGTTGGAGGCTAGCTGTTTTTATCTATTTTAAAGAGAGGCAGTCCTCTCTGTTTGTAAAGTACATAAATAAGTCTCAGTGTTTTCTCATTTCACGAGTGCATTTGAGAAATTTGGAAATGAAATGGGGCAATTTGCTGAAAGAGAAATTGAAAAGTATAATTGGATACTTTGTTACGTGGAATGGTCTGATATCACTGTAGCTTATTATTGTACTTCATTACTGTCTCACTGTACCAGCACCTGATGTATATATATAGCACTTATTAAATCCACCATTAACTATGTCTTTTGTACCGTAACTGAATAAAATTCCAGTTGCAGAGGGTGAACTCTGTTGCACTCTGACATTTTCTGCTCTAACTCGTTAATGTGCACCAGGCACGTTGAGCAAATGCGATTCATTACGAAAATTATGCCACAATTTTCACATGCGTTTCATTCACCTAGAATATTAACGCGAAACTGATCGCATTAATTCGTCAGATTTTACCAATGAAACATTTTACAAAGGGAAAATAAAACATTCCAACAATCGTATTATACTGTGGGCATAAGCAAGATCCAGTATAGTGATTTCTACAACCACCACAGCGATCACTCGCGGCATACGAGCTACAATAATTAATACATCATATTCTATTAATAAATCATCAATAAAACGCTCAAGAGACGCAAACTCAGAGTGCAAAGAGTAGAGAGACGCATTTTAACCCTCGATAACCGGATTGTCATGCAGGCGCAACGTGAAATATTGCTGTTACAATTTTTCATTCCAATAAGAAGGCGAAAAGTCAATAACTGCTGTAATCTGCTGTAATCACTGACGAAATGATATCTAACGAAAGAAAGCAGTGATCGACTCGAAAGATACGAAAATAATCTTCGAAACGCGCATCGGGTTCTCGAAGCTTTCAGGTCACATGGCGTTATAGAGGGTTAACTGTCGCGTATTATCCTCGTAACGAGTTAATGTCGCTGTCGCGATTTTTCTTTTCCTCCTTTTGTCCGAAAGCCGTCGTTCCGAGCGGCTGTTCTCTCAATGCAATGCAATTTCTATGCAGGAGGATGGTTAAAGGTTTGCGGACTGTGACGTTTCGATGAGAAAATGCCACGATGCTGCGGCGCGTCTTTGGTTTCCGTCATGGACGGCGACGGGTCTCCGCAGAGTCTCGGTTTGCAGATTCAGGACGGTCAGTAATTAACGATAATTGCCCATTAGTTTTACTCGCGTCCCGATTCTACCAACGTTCGCGTCCATCGAGTTCTTCGCGCTCCTCGAGCTTCCGAGCAACCGGTCCACGCGAATTTGCAAATGGCCGCCGAGGGATAAGCAGTAACTCGAGTTCCAAGTTAGATCCAAGAATATCGGTTTCACTGGGTTCCATTTTATCTGAAATTATTACACGGAAATATATTATCCGGTTTATTACGATGGGAAATAAATGATCGTTTATTTAATGGAACAAAATGGATCTCACCGACGAAGTTTGGCAATCGCCTATTTTCATAAGATTATTCTTATCGATCATGCTCGTATCACAAAAATTAGACTTTGTAGAGTAATCCTGGTATTCACGTGTTGACTGCTTATCGGATTCTTCGTTGCTTGTATTCTGAATTGTAAAATATATGTGTTATCAGGTGTATTATTAATTGAAATTTAGTATGATTTTCGTAGCTACACCTGTGTTCAATTTTCTGTTGATTTTGTCTTTTATCGTCAAGTCGAAATTAATTCCGCAGTTATCTATGGTAATTCGTTTTGATATATTGGGTGTGTTAAAAAGAGATTTTAGTAAAAATTGTCATTTGTTTTCCATCAATCCATTCGTATCATGTTAGTGGAAATACATTGTGGGAGAATTATAATATATTACGAGTAATTTAGAAATATCGTGGATGAATTATAATTACGATAAAAGTCAATCTTAATGTTATCAGAGTTATATCTGCATGCTTGCAATAATCGCGAAAATAAAATATCCGATAGCAATCAGTTCGATTCGATTTGCCTAGTGCTAAACTCGTCTCGTCGTGGATCGTATCGTTCTTTCAATTCATGCTCAGTCTTGGATCGTAAATATGTATTTATCATTACGTAATCGAGCCACGAGGATGATCGGTCTCATGGATGCACGTAGACTTGCGTCAAAGGGATAAGCAAGGAAGTCGAGAATTGCAAAAAGTTGCAAATTATCGTTACGCAGGGTATTACGTTTGCGATCATGTTTGCCACCTCGAACGAGAAAATAGTTACTAAAGGCGAGTACGCAAGGTATTAACTTTTATTAGCAATAGAGAAACGAAGAGTGCGATTTTTACTCGCCACTTCGTTTCAGCTGGAAGCGTTTAGAAAGTTATACCTGCTCGCAACTCAAATCTTGAACTTTGTGCTTCTATCGTTGGTCGTTTATCGCGAAACTTCTTTGATAATCCATCTAGAACGGACGCAATTAAAACAGTAACACGCGAGCAGAATGAATAATGTGAAACGTGCAATATTACTATAGCATTACGATACGATGCTTCAATCGTAAAATAAAATACTACGAAAATACTAGTATAATAAATATTACGTTCATTTTATAATTTTGGTACCATTTCACGATACGAAAATTGTGAAATTTTTAAATAACCAATTATATAGAATATTACTATATCATTACTATATCAAAGTAACGTTTCAATTGCAAAATATAATATTACAAAAATACTAGTATAACAAATATTACATTTATTTTATATTTTTGATAGTATTTCAGGGTATCAAAATTGTGAAATTTTTAAATAACCAATTATATAAAATATTACTATATCATTATGATACAACGTTTTAATCACAAAATAAAATACTAGGAAAATACTAGTATAACAAATATTAGCTTTATTTTATATTTTTGATAGTATTTCAGGGTATCAAAATTGTGAAATTTTTAAATAACCAATTATATAAAATATTATTATATCATTATGATACTACGTTTCAGTGACAAAATGAAATACTATGAAAATACTAATATAACAAATATTACCTTTATTTTATATTTTTTATACCATGTCACGGCACACATTGCACTATTTAACCGTGAGTATAAAATCTCACTGATAATTCATTTTTCACCCGATGACCAACAGAATACAGGAAATATTTTTGTCGATAAAGCCATGGGTGGTCGACACCCAACGCTGTCCAAGGCTCCTGCCACGGAGACCTAATTCCTAAAAATATATTTCTTTTTATCTCTCTTATGCGAATGCTACTTCAGTGTATCTAAATACCAGGCAAACAAGCGTTTGTTTTACGGTGTTTACAGGCAACCCCCGAAATAAAACGGCGTTAGCACCTGGCCATAGTTTGATGGACTGGATCCGACTGGGCAACTCTGGCGTCGATTTAACCGGCGTCGGTGGAGTTCCACGTGTCGTAACTTTGTCCGAATTGGCCAGCCATAACAAGCAAAACGACGCTTGGATCGCGATTCGAGGTATGATTCCACTGAAACTCATTCCTTGACCAAATTTAGATACGGTGATTAGGTACAGAGATCAGCGAGCAAAGAGCTCCTGAAGATCGGGATGACAGATCATGGTAATTTATGATAATCCGAGATAGGATTCGAACATTTCGCTTGCATATCCAAGTACTAACTCTGTTCTTTAAAGTGATGCTTTTAAACGCGAGAATTTTTTCTTCTCAGTTTTGCTTCAATACGAAGTTTGGCATTTCACGTGCCTGAATAGCAAGTTCTGAGAATCTATTTATATTTAAACGTAATTTCGTTTATATTTTTCTATATTGTTACTGAAATTTTCAACTGAAAATGTGTCATATGTCCTTTGCCACTTTGCTATAATTAATTGCTACATATCAAGTTCTAAGAAAGTATAATATAGTATGTCAATTTGTATTAGGCATCTAAATACCCACAAATGGCACAATAATTGAAGTGGTATGATAAGGATAAATAGGCATAACCACATTTTTATCCAAGTAAAAGTCAATATTATTTCTATAAAAATTAGCTTGATATATGCTTCTAACGTTAGAATTAGAAATCTTTAATGGACACTTAAACATAATAGGTATAAATGATAGTAAATTGACTTTTAAGATTAGGATAAGTAAATGTATTAATTACAGGTCTATCTCAATATGAGTCGACATTAATCTTTGTTAAAAGCAGGTATATATTTTTAGTAATTGTAAGAAGGAAAATTCTGAGACCTGGCTTTTTGACTGGATTGGTAGTTCTAGTGTTAATATTTGCGTTATTCTGTCTCACTTGTTTCAATCATAATTTCCCAAATTTCGATTTTCTATGCCCACCATTTTCAAAAATAAAATATTCGAAACCAGTCGTTTCGTCAGATTTGATAATTATAACCTTACTCTATCTCACTTCTCTCGGCCATAAGTTCCCAAGTACTTTAATTTCGATTTTCCAAATCTACGACTTCCAAAAGAAAAATATCCAAAATCATTCGTTTCGTTACCATTCAATAATTGTATCCTCGTTCTGTCTCACTTCTCTCAACCATAACCTCTCAAATATCTCAATTTTGATCCCTCAAACTTACCATTTCAAAGAATAAAATATCCGAAATCGACGCCATTTAATAATTGTATCCTCGTTCTGTCTCACTTCTCTCGACCATAACCTCTCAAATATCTCAATTTTGATTCTTCAGACTTACCATTTCAAAAAATAAAATATCCGAAATCGGCGCCATTTGATTTTTCTATTATTTCTATTATTTATATATATTATTTATATATATCATATATTATTTATTATATTATTTATATTATTTATAGATAATTCTATTATCGTTCTGTCTCACTTTTCTCAACCATAACCTCTCAAACACCTGAACCAGAATTTCGATTCTCTGCATGTGCGACATGCACAGTATCGAAACCCCAAATCTCCTTATCTTTCTCGCCTTATAATCACCGAAACACCTAAATTCCCGCCCAACTTCCAAACTTCAACTGGCGTCGAACTGCAGCCAGGGTTCTCTGAAACTGCAAAACCTAGTTTCCACTAATGGGATTACGCGTTAATCCCGTTTGCACGAGCAAAGACGGTGGCTCGAAAGTACACCGTTTAATTGAAATTAAATCGGAGAAAGTAAAATCGATGGCCGAGAGCAATCGCGTTTGTTGGTAACGCGATATCGCTCTCGACGTGTTTCCGCGTGGAAACCGGGCTTAAGAGCGCAGTAACGAGCACATCGGGCAAGGACGTCTTCGCGAAGCTCGTTGGAAATTAAGTAAAATAAGAGAATTCGGGCCGACGTGGAATTAAACTCGATGCCAGTTCAAGTTCCATCTAGTTTATCTTATAAAGCTTCGTTTTCTTTTCTCATCCATGGCTCTGTACGCCTGAGGAACTGTTACCAATTATCGTCACTATGGTATCTTCGTTTGTAATCTCTTGTTATTTAAGCTCGAAATGCAAACTCGGAATAGTATCGATACTGATGAAACAGTATATTTGTATAATTGATAGCTTGTTTTTGTTAATTTTGTTAATACCAAATTGGTTTCATGCTGGGTTCGTTAAGTGACAGTGATTGACGACGTTTTAATTCATTTTTGGATACTGATATAAATGTAGATATATTGGAATTGGATTAAAAGGAATACTTTTAATAGTAATACCTTTTGATTCATTTTTGGATACTGATACAAATGGGTGTAGATATATTGCAATTGGATTAAAAGGAATACTTTCAATAGTAATACTTTTAATAATAATACTTTTATAATATTAGTAATAATTAGTTATATTAATATTATGTGTACATTATTCATTTTAATAGGAATACTTTTAATAATAATACTTAGAAGAGAGTAACTAGTATTAATACTAGTACCACTGATGGAATACTTGAATTATTATAACGTATATTTAAATATAGTATACATAAATAATAATTGTTAAAATGGTACGACAAAAATAAATATAATAAGATAGAAATTTGCGATAATTTTGCCAAAAATAGCTGTGAATGTGTTCTCAATAATTATTAATTAAACTAAAAATTGGTCAAAGCTAGTTATTCTTATTGACAGTACTAATTTGACAATTTTAATTTAAATATTTACAGGATTAATTGTTACAGGAATAGTTAGCGTTTAACAAGATTTATTTATACACACGTGTATATATAGTAGTTGGTTACTAAATTAAAATATCGTGCAGATTTTTATCGGCAGTTTTCACGGTTCTGTAACAAGATTTATTTATACACACGTGCACTTATAGTAGTTGGTTATTAAAATAAAATATCGTGCAAATTTTTATCGGCAGTTTTCACGGTTTTATAACGAGGATTTGAAAATCACGTAGGATTGTCACGTAGAGTCTATCGGACATCGCGTCATTGATTAAATATTAATGCAAAAATTAATCTGCCGCCTGTTAATCCTATGGAATTAGTCTGCAACTGTGATACGAACGTTCTTTGGACTCTGAAGAGTTAAATCATCTTCCTTAAAAATAAAATACACGTTGACACATCGTTCGAAAGATATCTTCACGCTGCTCTACGATGTATAACCGTGTGTATTTTACGCTATTTTATTATTCGCTTAAAATCGCTAACTTTTGAAAATATCTTTAACGTTGCATTCTTCGAATATTTTGCATTTCACGTGTACCGAATGTACTCTTTCTTTCCTTTAATATGTTTTTTCACGGATAATCAATCTCATTTTCCCCTCAAAGGAACCTTCAAACAGCAACTGCTTTTTATATTCCAGATGATAATAATAAAATTGAAAGTAAAATCATTACAGAATAATTAATATAAAATTATTTGAGGAATTTTTAGTAAAAGTTAAATAACAATATTATTATTATTATAAAAATTAATTTAGAGAGTTGATTGATAAGAAATAAATTAATGAAATAATTAGGGAATGAAAGAATGGGAAAAGAAAATTTTAGGTATATTAGAAAAATTATAATAGAATAATAAGAAATACTAGGACACAAATTATACTATATAAATTATATATATAAAATTATATTTTATAAGTTATATAAATTTATTAATTATCTTAATTAAAATTTATTCCTAGGATAAAATTATACATTTTCGAAAATTCTCAAATCCTTTAGTGTAGAATTCGAATGTGTAAAAAAATGCCTGTCTCCATTAGAAAATCTCGACTTCCGGCATAGAAAACCGATTTCCGCTCGATACCGGAAGTTGAAATTATTATGATTCGATGGAGCGTGTCCGAGGTATTTATTACAATTTACCGGCGTTTTTATCAAAACCACTTCCCTGTATTTTTAATTCAGTGGTCTTCGGACACCCATAGTTGAAGTGAAGTGGGAGAAAAATTAAATTGGGGACCAAAATGGCAACGTTGACCGGTGAACTTTTGACCGAAATGCATGGAAGATTTATCGTTAAAATTTCTAAATTTATAAAAAGACATCCTTTACTCTACACCGAGATAATCGATGGCCAGAGGATCGTGAGAAAGCGCATTTCTCGTGGAAAAGAAAACGAACGACAGCCACGAAGAGGAAGGGAAAACGATATCGAGCAGCGTTGAACGTCCGCTTTTAGTCTGATTAAAATTTACTTTCCCCGTCCATCGAGCAACGTCGAATCGTTCAATATTTATTCTACGTCCGTCACGAACCCTGGCCAGCCTATTTTAATTCCACCTATGAAATTTGCCGGCGTATTTTTGCGATCGCGCGTGACCCAACATATCGAATGAAGGCTGACTCAGAGAATTTCTCATGACCCGTGGTACTTCTGCGAAATATTCGAATTAATTTAAAAATGGAAGAAAACATCGAGATATTTCTTTCTCCTCTCTTCATTTTTCTTTTTTGAGTTTGAAACTACTTAGGCTGTTTTAAATTACACGTGGATCCAGTATAAAGAATTGATTATTAAGTTACTAAATTATTTAAGTGAAAGAATTAATTTAAAAAATGAAAGAAAACTAAAGGGAATGTATTTGATATTTATAAATAAAATATTCTGTTATCTTTTTTCTTGCTTTTCTTGCTTTTTAAATTTTTTTTTTGAGGTTAGAGCTACTTAGACTGTTTTAAATTACACGTAGATCTATTGTAAAGTATTGATCGTTGAATTACAAAATTATTTAAAATAGGAAAAAAGAATTGAGAAACGAAAAGATGAATTTAACGCTACGTCGAAAACGCCAGTTTCCAAGAATGCGAGGCCATTTCCTTGATTCTGTAAATCAATATGGAAGGCACACAATGGAAGATTCCAACGATCTTTTCATTGAAATGGTACGTTTGAAGATTTCGAGTCCATGTTTCACCTATCGTCGAGTCTGCAACTGATAATTTATTAATTTATTAAATTAAATCTAAAAATATTTAACACTAAACCTACCAAACCTAGTCAAATGATCGGTCGATGGAACAATGGAGGAAGAGCTTCAAAGGAAATGGAATAAAAAAAAATATCGAAAAATTTATAATACATACATTGAAACAAATATCGAGAAGATTGAGCAGGCTAAATGATAACACCGAGTGTAGAATTTTTAATTAAAAATTTGCAAACGATCGTTTAGCCTGTGATAGGTCTAGCATAAAATCGAAAGATATCGCAAATGGAACTGTTAAGTAACAAAGCAATGCTTGATCCGCAGGAATCGTCTTCAACGTAACCCGTTACATGGACTTCCACCCTGGAGGGATCAACGAGCTGATGAGAGGCGTTGGGAAGGACGCCACGATGCTGTTCGAAAGCGTAAGTCCGGCAACTTCCGTACTTGAATCAAACCAACGTGTCGGTCCCGCGTTGATCGACGATCATTTTTACGTACCCATAGATCGTTCGTTGCAGGTGCACGCTTGGGTCAACTATCAGAGCATCCTACAGAAATGCGTGGTGGGAAGGCTGAGCCGAGGCTCTGTCAGCGGCACCACCTCGTCGCCGATGGAAAACGCTGTCTCGAGCACGACCAATTGTTCCTCGACGACGTTCAACCCGATAACGAGTTGCACGAGTGAGTAGGCCTGCATCGATCCTGCCCGCTTGTGTCCCGTCGATGCTGATAAAAGGAACAAGTGTCCGGGGAGCCTTGGCGATTCTTCCGATTGTCAACGCGCAGAAAAATGCACGTTCGTGACCTTTAGAACGGTTTTGTGCCATTGTCGGGACTTAAATGTTGAGGGAAACGAATCGTCGAATGGGATGCGTACGTGGGTTGCTGCGACCGATGTAGATATGCACTCTATTCTTGATACCGCTGGCTTTCAGAACGAGTAAAAGGATTTCCTGGATGGTTGGATTTTTCGTTTTGGTAGTCTATGTGTGAGATTGATTTTTGACGTGTTTATGTTGATGCGTGGATTGTACAGACTCTATGTTACCAGACTAATAACTTTGCTTATCATTGTGATATATGAATAGATATACATATCTTATGATATTTATGAGATTCTAAAAATCATTAGTAAGAAAAATGTGTGATATTTATGGTAGGCTAGAACTACGGTAAAGCGAATATTTTGTTTCAATTGATGGAGTTGCATAGTTTGAATTAAGAAGGAATAATGATATTGTAGGTTAGGGAGAGTACCTAGAATTTTGCGTTATTTTTATTTGGGAAAATTATAAACTAGGTGACAAGTAAAGTATTCACTGAGGCCTTTTTGAAAGACTGGGTGAAGAGTGGGTAGTTGGTAGTATTATAAGAGGATTGTAGAGGAGTAGTCAAATTCTGAGGATAGACATGTAATTTAAGAGAGCTGTAGTCGTTTAAGAGATTCGTTATACTGCTTCATGTCATTAAAACAAAATTGTTCATTTTTAGCTCGTAATGCCAGTCAAGAAAATGTGCCAGACGACGGTATACCGAATCTAAAAATGGACTGGAGACAGACATCCAACTCGATCACGTTGTTTTATCAAACGATGCGCGACTATCCAGGCGTGTGCTATCAATTAAGTAGGATAAGCGACTCGAAGTTGGTCTTCAAACTATTTTTCGAGAAGAATATAATAACGCATCAGCTGGAATTGACTGCGGGAATAGAATGGCCGCCTGTGTGCACCAGAAACTTTGACACGATGGAGGTAATGGAATGAAAACATCATATCTTAGTGGATAGAAAAACTCCAAGTCTATATATAAAGTGTAACAACACGTTTGATATTAAAATTAAGAGTACTGAATTTTACTTTCTGCTTTATGCAGGTCGATTTTACACTTACGAAGAAGAAGAAAGAGATATGGAAGTCTCAGGGTAGCCAAACAATATCCAGAGAGACAAACACGAATAGTCGAACGTACAAAGAATACGAAGTACTTACGAATAAACCACTTTCTAAGTTAGTTCACCTGTTAGTCGTCCGAGCGAAATATTTCTTAGAAGTGATACCCATAGGCAGGCACTTGGAAGCCAAGATGACCGTTATGGGTGAATATCACCTCCATGTAGCTACTTTCATTGTCCAAATTCATTTCAACCGATTAATTAATGAAATTTAGAAGAAATAGGATGTGATCAGTATTTCTACAAACAGTTAGCCATTATGATAATTGGGCCATTATGTTAATTAGCCATTATAAAATATTAATTCATTAGAATTAATATTAGACTCCTTTTTTTTTGCAATTTTTATCTTGTAATTCATAAGTCTATAATTTCATATTTATTTATTAATTATAGTTGCCAAAAATGTGTTACTTTCATTTCTTAAATAACTTCGTCAAAAAATTTCTTAGAGATCTATTATTTATTAAAGCTTCTGTTTCTAGTATCTACTCCTTGTTGAAGTTAGCATCTCCACATGTAGGTGACTTAGTATTTATTGACCATCCTCACAGAAAATCACTGAATGCTTTAAAATCGTCTTCTGAAAACTTTCATTGAATTCAGAATTATCAAGTATTCCGTTTCAGGGATGGAAGTATCGCGATCGTACACGCCTGTCCCACCGTGCCTTCACCCTGATGACATGGCGCCGAACTACAAGTCCGATTGCCTGTGTCTGATGATCAAGAAGTACCCAATCCGCTCTTCAGATTGGTCAGACCCTCTTCTTGAGCAATGCTTTAGGTGCCTTCGTAGTAGAAACCTTTGATCGTTATTCTGTCATTCATATGCTGGCTGGTGGTACTGGCTTGACCGTTATGCTTGGCATCATTCAACGAGCTTTGGCCAGACGTAGTGTGTTAGTATCTTCTCGTTTTCATTCGTTACTCTATATCTGTAGAATTATTTTTATACGGATCAGTAAAAATTAACACCTAGGATGTATTTGGAATTATGGAAATAAATATGGAGAGAAATTCTTTTCATTAAAATTCTATGGTATAAAAGAGAATATCACGAGAGTTATATAAATTTTATTGATTCAATCGGTGTCGAATCAATTTAAATAAATTTCTATTTGTCTGGTGATCAGAATTAATTTAAGGAAAATATTTGGCATAGCTGAGAGTATGTTTCTCGAGACTACCATAAATCTTTGGCACAGTGTGTGATGTTATTTTGAAATGGCTACTTTGTTAGTTCTGTAGAGTCAAGAGAATGAAATATAGCAGTGAATTGTTTTCTACTTTCAGTTTGGGGAAAGTAGTTTTGAAAGTAATGTTATGGAGATGTATAGGCCACCTGTGAAAGTGATGACGAATGGCCATGTATTTTAAATATTGATATTTTGTTTCTTGGACGTCGACAACATGTACCTCTTTTAGTTTCAATAACTGAATTATATTATCATGAAATTGTTGTATTACGTAAATAGTCTATAAGTTAGCAACCTTCAGCAACTTTGTAATTCCATAATTTATCTAATGCTTCAGGAAGACCATAAATCTACTTAATTTCAACAAGGACGAAGACAACATGTTTTACGTGGCGCAACTAGAAAAGGCTAGCGCAGACAAAAAGTGAGAGAAAAGATTAATTAATTCTTCTGAATTTCGATTTTTATTGTTCTTACATGAAACATTGTCACGTTTCAGGTTAAAAGTTACACATATTCTTTCACAAGCAGGAAGCACGTGGACAGGCAGACGTGGTACGGTGTCCGATGACTTATTAAAGGAACTAGTCGCAGGGAGTTCCCCTGATGCGTGTGTTTTCACTTGTGGACCTCGAGGATTCATACAATCCGCGAAAAAGTGAGTGAAATAGATTTACCACCCTAATTACTAAGTCTTAATATTTCATTTACAAAATTGAGTTATGTAAAAGGATAGCAATGAACTTAGAAAGACGTGCAAAGAATTATATATTTTATATGGAGCAAACATTATGTATATATTTTTTAGATGTCTCCAGAAACTTGATTGGAAGCCCTACCAGATGTACGAATTCGACGATTAGCTGTACTCATCGAAAGTGTATCCCTTCTTTTTTGATACCAAACGTAGGAACATTGGCAGACATGTACAAACACCGGTAGCCGAGCTTTCCCTCAAGGAAGTAATCACGTGTCATGTCGTCGAATTTTTAAAAAGAGCCTTTTGGATACTTTTACTCCTATTTCCGCCCACAATCTCTAGCAGGAATTTAATTAGGAAATAGATACTAGATGATTGAACAAATAAACTCAAATAATTTTGCAATATTTTTAATAGAAGGAAATGTTCGCCTTCTAACGAGCTTTTTCGTTGGATGTTAATATCAGAATTTATTCAGAAGCCTAAGGAAATTGTTAGAACCAAAGTTCTGTATATAGAATATTGGAAGGGAATTCATTTTCCATTCTTTTTTCCATTTTCTGTTAGACTTATGTCTTCCGTTTGAGTGATATATTCGATCTGACATCGTCGAACGCAATACACAAGAGCAAACACCTGTATATTTGTACTTACTATCAGTAGATGCGCACACTTTGTACCATATCTACGAATTTCGAAGAAAAATAAAAAGAAAAATAAAAAGAAAAGATAGGACTAAGGATCACGGATGAAAGTCTTTGGATTTTATGGGACAAGCTATGCGTACAAGCGTCCATACTTTCTACATGGTTCGCGAGGATAAATTATTTTTACAAACGACGTCTTTTAATCTATCATTCAGAGAGCTATGTGTGTATTTTGAACGATTTATTTGGGAATATTCAGACGTATTTTCAGAAGCAGGCCAATTCGAAACGACCATGGTGCTATTTCCTAAAGTAAACCGAAATAGCACACCTTGACCATACCCAACAAGAAAACTTACGATCTACTCTGTGAGAAAAGAATATAATCGTCATCGATTTCAATTTCTACGTGATAGATTAGAGCGATATTTAAGTAATCTTGGTCCTTTTTCTTGGAAGTAAAACACCGTGCCAAACAGGGGCCTTAGAACTCTGGGGGGACTCTAGAATCTTAACCAACAACATGGCCTAATCACAGAAGCGTTCTAAAATTAACGACATACCGAGAAGTATCAGCAGAATTGAAGTTCTTTGATCCCTCGTGTAACGTAAAGAGAATTGAAATATATTGTAAAAATGGAGAAGGTTAGAGAACTCGTGGAAGTATTTTTATCGACCGAGTATCCTCTGATTTGACCATGTATGGTTTGAGTCGAAGATGACCGTGTTTGACGGAGATGGGTTCACGTTGCTGAGCGACGTGGTTAATATTATTCAAACACATTCGAGTATGGACCACTTCCTACATTTACGTACATGTTAAATACGCCTATGTGTATGTATATGTGTGTACATAGTTGTTATCAGAAATAAATGAATATTCAATGGCTCCTTATCACATCGCGTTCCCTTTTTCTTTTATTTTCTTTCTTTGGAAACTCTGCGAGAATTTTTGGATTTATTTTAATTAAAAACTTAACAGACGGGTTAGCGATGATTTCGTTTAGAATAATGAATTTAATTTAGAAAGGAATTTAAGTTAAAGTAGCTTTGTAATTAAAAATTTCTTCTAAATAAAATCTATTGTGAGAATTCCAGACATTAACGAATTAGATTTATTTTAGATAATAAGTAAAGGTATTTGCTTTATGTTTTGTATTAAATATGTAAAGGGAGATGTTTGAGTTGGCCACAGTATTCCTTTCCATATTTCGCCGAGTTTCAGAATTAAGAACGAGGCTGACGGGAATATCGCGTCGTTTGCAATGTAAAACGTGTTTACGATTTCGTAGATGAATTAGGTAAACCTCACGGAGCAGTGGTGGATAAATATTCAAGGAGCTTAGCCTCTCTCTTGACAGAGTTTACAGTGTACCGAGTAAACTGAATTAAGGCAAGAGACGTAATTATTAATACTAACATCACTGTTAGCGTTCCCTATATTACCATCTCAACGTAATTGGATTTTCAAAAAAGTAATATAAATATTATTTTTTCATTTCCTATATAGCAAGAGGTACAATAAATAACATTATTATTCTGCAAAATATAAAACACTTCATTTCAAATTTACTCAAATTTCCCATATCGCATACTGAAACAAAATCCTTTACCATAATCTTTAGTGCTTCCAAATAAGTGTACTAATAAAAAGTACTCTAACTATAGAATGTAAATTTATCCTATGGAAGCGCGAATGCAGTTGTAGTTTATAAAAAATGTATAAATTATCAAACGTATTATTAATAAATTAAAATTGTTAATAACAAATTGCATAAATCATAAAAATACTTCATATAAATGCATTACAGAAATTTATATTGCGAAATCATAAATAAAGTTTACAAATTATTATATTTATCGTTAGTAATAAATTAATATTGTTAATAACAAATTGTTCGCAATGAAAATTTATAATAAAAGTGAACAAAAATAATAAATAATTAACTATTACTTGAAATTGTAACGCATTGAAGTCTACTTATAATTAGCAAAAAGTTAATAAATTGCTATATTTATTGTTAATAACAAATATTTTGTAACGTATATTAACGATAAAAGTAAAAAAGTTAATAAATTATTAGCTACTATTTAAGCAAACAACGTATTTGTGTTAAAATGTATTCGTAACTTACAAAAAGCTAATAAATTAATAAATTTATTGTTAATAGCAAATTAAAATTATTGATAACAAATAGTTTGTAACGTATACTAACAATAAAAGTCAAAAAAGTTAATATATTATTAGCTACTACTTAAACAAACGACGTATTTGTGTTAAAATGTATTCGTAACTTACAAAAAGTTAATAAATTAATAAATTTATTGTTAATACCTAATTAAAATCATTCATAACAAATAGTTTACAACGTATATTAACGATAAAAGTAAAAAAAGTTAATAAATTATTAGTTATTATAAGGCAAAAGTAACTTTCAAAGGAATCGGTAAAGTTCGGAAATTTTCGCCGATCTTCGTCCGGCCGCCGCTATATAAGGGGCCCGCGTGCAGGCTCGAACCAGTTGTCGCCTCGACTTCGGAGGGTCCGCGTTAATATTTTTTCTTTTTGTTTCAGGTTTTAATTATCTTTCTTCTTTCAGATTCTATTTCTTTTATTCCAGATTTCATTGTTTGTGCATTCGAGTCTTTTTTACAATATGCGAATGCTTCGTCGTTGGTTTATTTGTACATCATCGTTGGCTAGATCAATGGCTGTTCAGTGGCCATTGTCCACTCTCTTAAATAATTTAACAATAATTTCTTCTTTCAGGTTCTAATTATTTTTCTTTCAGACTTTATTTCTTTCATTCTATTTGTCTCTTTGTTTCAGCATTCGAGTATTTCGTACAATATTCGAATGCTTCGTCGTTGGTTTACTTATGTCTCATCGTTGGCTAAATCTTTCCGTTCACAAATTTTACGACTTCCGTTCGGTTTGTTTTCGTTAGAACGTTCGAGTATTTCGTATAATACTCGAGCGCTTCCTCGTTGGTATGTTTATATCTCACCGTTGGAATGTTTCTGTCTCGTCGTTGGCTTGCTCGTTCCATTTGGTTATTATCCTTGATGGTTTCCTCGTACTAATCCCTTTCCTTTCAGCTACATATTAACAATAATATATTCTGTTTTAGCTTTTAGGTTTCTCAAGATTCTGTTTGCGACACATCAATGAACGATGCGTGCGTTTACTTTTAAGTAATCATAAGATAGATCCATAGACTAAGTATCATGTGCGCGCTATCTGTACAAAGGTAAGCTACCTAACTTGGAGCGAAATTTATAAATTCTCTATCATTTTCTTATCCCCCTCGTTTAGCAAATAGAACATAATTGTTCTCGCGATAATCGCGATCGTTCGTAAGTACCGACTAGCCTACGCGACGTGCTCTCGTGTACTCGATAAGTACATACTTCGTAAGTCATCCTCACGACTCGTCTCCGACACTCATTTCCAGTCACTGTCAATCTCGTCATGCATCGGGTTCCAGGGTGACCCCCTCGGATCAGTGCGTCTTCTGACCTCGACGGGGCGGTCCGCTGCCTAAGTCGTACGCGACTGGGGCTCGGGCACATGCTGGCTGACGGACTAGTACCATCTACGGTTAGACCACAGGGATGATTAAGTTCTACCCCGTGTGGCTGGGATGCGAAGTGTCTGTCTTGGCCGGCAACCGCCCAGCAGGGCCCTCGCGTTGACACTAGAAGTTTCATTGGTTCAGGGACTATCCTTGGTCCACGTGTAAGTCTTGGCGAGTGCGACAGTGACTGGAATTGAGCTAGGCCCGATCGGGAGGGTGCCGAGGTATGAAGTTATCTCTGTACACGGGAGTACATCGCCTAGGCTAGTCGGTCTTTCGAATAATCGCGAACTCGTTCGGGCGCGTCGCGATTTTCTATTTGCTCGCGTGTTTGATATTTCATTCCCTATTTTTATGGGAACTTGAAAATATCTTAGCGTTGCGACAGTAGAGTTTCAGTATACCGAACCGAGACCCCTTTTGTAAGACACGAAATATAATAAAGTGTCAGTAGAGTCGTTTTAATTTAATTCGCTCCAAGTTAGATTGGGCTACCTTTGATACAGGTAGCGCCAGTAGGATGCGCCACTAGGGTGCATGTCGGGTCTCGATGCGTAGCCACCTCCACGTGGTGAGACCTGGTAATTGGTGTAATACCAAGCTAAGAGCTACGCACCAAAGGTGAAATATTATTTATTAACTAGCGATAAGGCAGTTATAAGTTAGTTATAATTTAGTTATAAAATAGTCATTAATTAGATATAAGGTAATTATAGTTTATGTGCTAAACACATTTTACATTGTTGCAGATGTCACTCACACTAGACGACACCCGCATATATTATATTTATATCACATAAGGTACAGTTATAGACAAATGATTCTCACACATTCAATCTCATTGTCACTCATGGTATTGTCCGAAAATATTTTTAGGAATTACATGATTTCTTGGAATCCTGCCTGCATAACAGCTCCTTTAATGGTATGTTCACCTAATACAAAATTAGTAAATTGGCAGAGGGTTTCATGTCAACGCTGCGAAATTTGTAGGCCCAAAATTCTTCAAATTTTAACCAGTGTTTCGCAGCAATTCTTCCCAGTGAAAATGAACAAATTACGAAATTTCTGTAATTAACGATGATGACATTTGTCGCTTA